GGAATATCTCGTAGCCTTCAGTCCTGCAAGTCCCAGCCACGCAGGGAGCTTTTGTAGTGGGGGAGGAGTTAAGAAGCTTGCTCCAACCCTCCTTCATGATTTTCTCAACTCTCTTTCCAAGACTGACTTTATTTATTTGAAAGGCAGAGTTGTGGAGAGAGAGGGAGAGACAGAGAAAGAGAGAAAGCTTCCATCTGCTGGTTCACTTCTCAGGTGGCCACAATGGCCAGGACTGGGACAGACTGAAGCCAGGAGCCTGGAGCTTCCTCTGGGTCTCCCATGTGGGTACAGGGACCCAAGCATTTGGGCCATCTTCTGCTTTTCCAGCACATCAGCAGGGAGCTGGATTGGAAGTGGAGCAGCCAGGACTCAAACTGGGGCCCATATGGGATAGTGGTGCTGCAGGCAGCAGCTTAACCCGCTACGCCACAGTGCTGCTCCCCTTCATGCTTTGATACGGTAGTATTAGCCTGTTTGAGAAAAACCCTTACAAGGAGCATTAGAAAAAACTGAGACGTTGGCTGGAAATTCTAAATAGCACTGAACGGTAGCATTTCCACGTGCTGCCCGTGAGACCTCACTGTCTGCGTGGTTTTCACACTCATGAAGTCACATCTAGACTTCTCCAGTGGGTGTTTACCTGGTGCTTTCTCGTCTTCTTCACGTCTCCATTTCCTTACATTTAAATATTCTGGCGTGAGGTAGGGATCTGACTTCCCTATTTCTTCCGAAGTCAGTGAGTTATCCTGACCTTACAGCCCCCTAAGTCAGTGTTTCCCCACTTTGACATCCAGCTTTCAAACAGCCGGTGCCAGGTACCTTACCTGCCCAGACCTCCACCACTCAGCAGTTGGGCCTTCTGGATTCTTGGCAAGGCCACATCTGGGCCTTTGCCTGATGGTCCCTTGGCCTGCCAGTGGCCTGGTTTGCACAGAAGATCTTGTAGCCATTTGAGCACTTTGTCTTACTGTGTCATGGCTGCTGAAAATTCATGGAAAAGGAGGAAAAGCAAGGCATTAGTGCTTGTAGTAAAACACAAGTATAAATATAGCACAGTTGAGACAGGGAGCTTGTTCCGGTCTCCTAGAAGTGGCAAGCTTTTCTGCTTAGGGTGTGACTCTGCAGGAGAGAAACCCACACGCTGAGAGGGGCCTGGACAAAGTGCCCCTGTGGTCTCAGACCTCAGGTCTGCCTCTGCCACCCCTCCCCGGGACAAGATCCTGCCCAGATCTGTGCTGCCATGTCGCTGTGGCTCCTACCTGTGTGGCGCGGTTACCAGGGACCATGGTCACATGTCTGGATGCCTGCTTCCTGCCGTGGGCTCTGAGCCCCACAGGTGGCCAGACCATACCCTTTTATCTCACAGTCGTGTGTCTAGGGACAGGCATAAAGGAAGCCGTCTGTAGATAACGGCTGATCTTTGTTCCTGTTTGCCCTGCCGGCAACCAAGGCTTCATCTATATTTGTTCATTGTTTAAGGCAGATAATATTGGCCCCAAATATGCTTTATCTTGGCTTCCATGTATAGACATAATGTGCCCAACATAGAAATAAGATACCCCTGGGGCCAGCGTCGTGGCATGCAGTGTTAAACTGCTGCCTGTGATGCCAACATCCCTTGTGGGCACCGGTTCAAGTCCCAGTTGCTCCACTTCCCCCGATCCAGCTCCCCGATAATGTCCTGTGGATGCAGAGGAGGGTGGCCCAGGTGCTTGAGCCCCTGCACCCATATGTGTGGGAGACATGGAGGAAGCAGGCCAGTAGGGCATCTTTTGGAGTTGGGGTCTACACGCCCCTTGTTCTTGGTTGGTTTAGAGCTGGAACCAGGGCCTTGGCTGAGTGCGTCCTGCGGCTGCCCTGGCTCAGGTCTGTCCATGCACACTTTCTGTGTCATTGTATGCGGACAGCAGTGCATACACATGCAAAGGTATCTGTTTGTTGATTTGTTTGTTATGTTTTGTTTTCATTTGAAAAACATATGAGGACACTTTAAAAAGTTTGTGGAGAAATAGAATTAAAGGTAAGTTTGGGGGCTGGCGCTGTGGTATAGTGGGTAAAACTCCGGCCTGCAGTGCTGGCATCCCATATGGGTGCCAGTTCAAGTCCCAGCTGCTCCTCTTCCGATCCAGCTCCCTGCTAATGGCCTGGGAAAGCAGCAGAGGATGGCCCAGGTACTTGTGTTCCTGTCAGCCACGTGGGAGACCTGAGTGGAGTTCCAGGCTCCTGGCTTCAGCCTGGCTCCTCCCTGGCTGTTAAGGCCATTTGGAGAGTGAACCAGTAAATGGAAGATTGATCTCTATCTTTCTGTCACTCTGTTTTTTGTATGAATGAATGATTTGATTAAGTCTTTTTAAAAGTTTATTTTGGTGCAAAAAAATCTTGAAATCCATGTACAGGGACTGGTGCTGTGGAGGTAGGCTAAGCCTCCTCCTGCAGTGCTGGCATCCCATGTGGGTGCCGGTTCGAGTCCTGGCTGCTCCTCTTCCAATCCAACTCTCTGCTATGGCCTGGGAAAGCAGTGGAAGATGGGCCAAGTGCTTGGGTCCCTGCACCCACATGGTCTTCCGGCCATTTAGGGAGTGAACCAGTGGATGGAAGACCTCTCTCTCTCTCTGCCTCTGCCTCTGTCTATCTATAACTCTGCATCTCAAGTAAATTTAAAAAAAAAAATCCAATCCATGTGTAGGTTTTTTTTTTTTTTTAGATTTATTTTATTTATTTGAAAGAGTTACAGAGAGAGGAAGAGACAGAGAGAGAAATCTTCCATCCTCTGGTTCACTCCCCAGTTGGCCACAACTGCCAGAGCTGGGCTGATTTAAAGCCAGGAGCCAGGAGCCTCTTCCGGGTCTCCCACGTGGGTGCAGGGGCCCAAGGACTTGGGCCACCCTCTACTGCTTTCCCAGGCCAGAGCAGAGAGCTGGATTGGAAGTGGAGCAGCTGGGGCTAGAACTGGCACCTGTATGGGATGCCAGCGCTTCAGGCCAGGGCTTTAACCCGCTGCACCACAGTGCCGGCCCCCCCTTTTTTTTAATGTAATTTTTTCATAATACATGTTTTGCATGACCTTTTCTTTGCAAGATTCCTCTATGCAAGGATTTAAAAAAAAATTTGCACCAAAATAAATTTTGAATCCCATTTTCCATGAACTTTTTGAAGCACCATCCTGCAGTTTGGGAGGAAATGTGCAGTCCGTAGCCCTTCTGCTCCGTATCTGCCTCTGTTGTAATGTCAGGGTGTCATCTTGTGATTTGTGTATGTGCATTTTTTTAAGATTTATGTATTTATTTGAAAGTCAGGGCTAGAGAGAGTTCTTCGATCTGCTGGTTCACTCCCCAAATGGCCATAACAGCCAGAGCTGGGCCAATCTGAAGCCAGGAGCCTGGAACTGCATCCTAGTCTCCCACGTGGATGGCAGGGGTGCAAGCACCCGGGCCATCTTCCACTGCTTTCCCAGGCCACAGCAGAAAGCTGGGTCAGAAGTGGAGCAGCTGGGACGTGAACCAGTGCCCATATGGGATGCCGGCACTGTAGGCAGCAGCTTTACCCGTGTGGCTTAGCGCTGGACCCTGCATGTGCATTGCTGACATTGACTTTTGTGTCGTGCTTTGTTCCCCCTAGATAACCTTACTGTTGGTTGACTAAAATACTGTACATGGGTAGCGAGCCTGCTCTGTTCAGTTCAATTCAAGAAGCGTTTAGGAAGGAACACCGGGGCTGGGCAGGTGTGCCTCCTGACACCGTGCAGAGAGCACCGGGTCCGCAGTTGTGAAGCTCTTGGTGGAATCTGTGGCCTCTCTCCCCGTCTCAGCAAGAGGAGTCAGGAAGACTGTCCAGTTATTGACTAGCTTGCGGCTTCTTTTATGCAGCAAACCTGTAAAGGCGTCTACCTGCCACGCGCTGTTCCGTGTGCTGCTGGAGGTCCCTCTGCGGACCAGAATGAATGAATGCAGGGGCTGCTCTGGTGATGGGTGACGACGGCCCGGGCGAGGGGCCGCTCCTTGACAGGGTCAGTGACATTTGAGGCGTGAGTGGTGCAGCTGTCAGGGGAAAAGTTTTCCCTGGCAAAGGGATCCTCAGCTGCAGAAGCCCCAAGGCTAGAGTGTGCTTGGTGTTTTCAAGGAATAGCAAAGAGCCAATGCAACAGGAGGTGTGCAGGGTGAGGGCAGGGTGGGCAGGGGAGAGGACGTGGAGGGTCTCCCTGGTCACGCCAGGGTAGGAGTGAGGGCAGGGTGGGCAGGGGAGAGGACGTGGAGGGTCTCCCTGGTCACGCCAGGGTAGGGGTGAGGGCAGGGTGGGCAGGGGAGAGGACGTGGAGGGTCTCCCTGGTCACGCTGGGGTAGGGGTGAGGTGGAGGGGACGGCGTTCCCGGAGCGAGCTGGGCACCGAGGAGCAGCACTGAGGGTCTGACTTAGGCTTTGCTCCTGCCTCCTCTCCCTCCTCTGGTTCCCACCTTTGCCGCCCTCGGTGAGTGACAGAGAAGTGTCCCAGAGGCTGGAACGTCCCCCAGGCAGCACGTGTGCCGACGTGCTCACTCCCCGTGTGTGAATGTGGAGCCACAGAACCCGCAGCCGAGGAGCGGCCCACCAAGGACTTCCCTGTTCTTCCAGCTCGTTAGAGGCGGCTGCTCCTCTCTGAAAAGAATGACCAAATAGGTTTTCAAATTGCATGAAAAAAAAAATACACTATCCACTGGCCGTGGCTAACCTAGTTCGAGTTACCCAGTCTGTTAACATTCAGCCTGCTTCAACTTCTGACAGCATTAGAAGGCAGATTTTTGGGGGGCCGTTATGGTGGTAATGGTCTTTCGAGGCATGGCAGGGGATTGGATTTGGGGAGGGGGGATAACCTAATTATAATCTTCCTTGAATTGCTTTAGGGTTAGATCTGTCACATGCTGAAGTTAGATCCCATTAGCAGGCTTAAAACATTCGTTTCTGAAAGAACAAACTGTTACAGGTTGCTGGGGCTAATTGATGTCTTTTGTTTCCTTTCTGTCGCAGGAGGAGACATCCCAGCTCTCCCAGATCGGGAGGGAAAATATGGAATGCATTTTCCCGCTGACTGAACACAACCCAATGAGCTGGACTGACAGCCGCTTGAAAACCAGCAGTTAGCAGTTTGTTTGGGCTCCAACGTGGCCCAGCACGTTCCAGAGCACACGCGCTGTTTACGGGGACTCTCGGCCTTAACCACGTTTGTCACCTGCAGCTTTGTGTAAAATAACTCCTGCAAGAGAGAAGGAGTGCCCGGAGCCCACTGTGTCAGCATGGCCATGGAGGAGTACCTGTGGATGGTAATCTTGGGTTTTATCATAGCTTTCATCCTGGCGTTCTCTGTTGGGGCGAATGACGTTGCCAATTCGTTCGGCACAGCCGTGGGATCCGGCGTGGTGACCTTGAGGCAGGCATGCATCTTGGCTTCGATCTTTGAAACCACCGGCTCCATGTTGTTGGGAGCCAAAGTGGGCGAGACCATCCGCAAAGGCATCATTGATGTGAACCTGTACAACGAGACCGTAGAGACGCTTATGGCCGGAGAAGTCAGCGCCATGGTTGGTGAGTAGCCGCCTCCTGGGCTCCCGGCGGGAGGCGTGCCCTGCCCCGGCCTTCCTCCACTACCTGTGCCTTATCCATCAGTGTGATCTCTGCTTTCCTGTTCATCAAGAGTGAGTTTGATGTTTCAGACTCGCCGTCTTATATAGTTGCATTCTGATTTTTATTTGATTTAAAAAAAAGTGTTCAAAAACCAAGCAAACATTTTATTTTCCCAGGTTGTTGGCAGACCCACCTACCAAGATGGATTTTGGCTAAGTGAACACTTTTCATAAAGTACAAAAAGAAGGGGTTGTTGGATAGCCTGCAGTTGCTCTAGACTTCTTTCAGAGTTATTCAGGAAATAATTTGTCTAAGTGATTGCGCTCTAAAGGCTTACGTGTGAATTGCCTTGAAGGTTGATTTCTATTTTTTTCCAGGATTTCTCTGAATTAGGATGCAGTGTTTTGAAAATTTGAGGTCAGAAAACAGTATTTACTAATTTAGTTTGTATTCTCGGTGTAAGTTGTACAGCTGTCACCAAATGAGACTTAATTAGATGCTTGTGTTTCAAGAAATTCTGGCCTTCTGCATCTGTAATCCCTTCCTTGGCTTTTGCTTTGATTTTTTTTAATCCCTGCCTCTGGGAGCTCCACTTGGTGTGTTTGTTTTATTTCCAGCCAAAAGGTAGTCTGTTGGTCACCTGTCTGTCTGGCCTGTGATTGGTAGTTGCAAGTTGTCTACATATTGAGGTGAGTGAACCATGCTGATAAGCAGATTGGTCAGCCAGGCTGATGTCTCCCTCGCCAAGGGGACCCAGAGGACCGCCGATTGAAGCTCAGTGGAGGTGTTTCCCTTCCTGCCCTGGAGCGAGCTGCAGAGAAAAACTCCAGGCAGGGGCAGATAGTGGTAGAATGGGCACCTCTGTGGCATAGCGGGCTAAGCCACTGCCTGCAGTGCCGGCATCCCATGTGGGCGCTGGTTCGAGTCCCAGCTGCTCCTCTTCCGATCCAGCTCTCTGCTGGAAGATGACCCAAGTCCTTGGGCCCCTGTACCCGTGTGGGAGACCCAGAAGAAGCTCCTGGCTCCTGGCTTCAGCAAGGCCCAGTCCTGGCCATTGCAGCCATGTGGGGAGTGAACCAGCAGATGGAAGCTCTCTCCATCTGCTCTCTCTGTCTCTCTGTCTCTCTCTAATTCTTTCAAATAAATAAATCTTAAACAGAAATTCCAGGCAGGAAGACGGGAGTACAGCTGACGTCATGTCCATCAGGCAACCTTGTCAGCTCTCAGCAGGCTCCTCCCTTTGTAGGCAGAGTCCTGCCCCGCAGGTAAGATGCTGTGCCCCAGGGACGCAGCTGCGTGCCACAGGTCTCTGGGTGATTAGGCTGCCAGTGTCGAGACCGTGGGGCCCCTGGCGATCTTGGGCAGCACGTGAGTTTGAGGAGTTGAGGAGCAGGCCAGCGTCCGCGCGGCTGTGTGCTCCCACACGCGGCCGGCTGGCTGCTCCTGTTACCTGGCCGCGTGAAGATGTCAGGAGTGGGGCCGCCGTCTCGATCCCAGCAGCTGTTGAGATCGCTGAGTGTTTTCTGACCTCCTTGGAGGACGTGTTTCTCAGCACGGTCGGCAGCACTGAAATCACCCTTAGAAGACAGCTTCGTTTGTCACGCTCACCCTCGATGGTCGTGCTGGACACCTGCGATTCCAGCTGAAATTCACCTTGTTCCAGTAAAGATGGTGTAGGCAAGGTGTGTGCGGGAATTTCAGAGGTCCAGCCTTGACAGAAGTCCTTTCCATTGGGGGGTGGTGGCTGTACTCCGCAGAGTGATGGCGTAAGACACAGAACGCTTTGGGGTCAGAGTTCACGGGCGCTGCTGAGGTCCGGTGAGGACAGCCAACGGCTCATCTGCTTTCCCCGTCCCGGCACCTGCGTGCCGGCTCTCTCCAAGAGACACAAAGACGCTGACCAGCTGGGGTTGGGGTTTAACCAAAGCAGTTTGGGGTTTTGCTCGAATAACTGTGGTGTTGTTTGCTTTGGTTTCTTTCTGGCGTGTGGCTAGGTGATTCCCAAAGCCCACCTTGTCCAGGATTTGTGTGCACTTCCCAGGTGTCCTTGCGAAGGGGAGCTGTGCAGGTTGAGGATGGTGGTGTCACAATGATTGGCCCAAGCCAGCACACGCTCTGTTCACGCACCCGACTCCTCCCGGTCTTTCTCTCGAAATCCAGCCTCCGAGTTCTCCTGCCCCTTGTCTCTCCCCACCCTTCTATCCTGTTCTGTTCTCTCCTTGCTCTTCTTCCTCCAGAAACCGCTCCCCGAGCCTGCGGGCCTCTGTGCCTCGCGATGCTGAGAGGTCAGACTGGGTCGGGTGGGAGACTGACCGTCCCCTGAACTGCCGCTCCGGCTCAGCTCCTGAGACGCACGCCTGGCCCGAGGCCAACAGGCGGTCCGCTCCGTGTGGAAGCAGAGCTCCCCTGAGAATTCACAGCCCACACCAGCACACACAGGCCGTCTTCTTGAGCCACTGTGCAAGGCGCACAGCCCTCCAAAGCACCCTCCGCCCCCGCGCATCCTCCACCTTCTCCGCACCTGCCTCTACCTCCCCGTCCCCGCTGCACCTGGCCCTGCCCGTGTCCACACTTCCCTAGCTTAAGTCTCACCCTCACCCCACACCTCATCCCTTTCTTCCATCGGGTGCGATGATCTGCGGTAATCTTTTTATTGTTGTTACAATTTTTATTTATTTGAGAGGCAGAGTTAGAGACAGAGACAGAGAGAGACAAAGAAGTCTTCCATCCGCTGATTCACGCCTGTAGTGGCCGCAATGGCCGGAGCTGGACCGATCTGAACTCAGGATCTCCCATGCGGGTGGCTGGGAAAGCACCACTGCTTTCCCAGGCCGTAGCAGAGAGCTGGGTCAGAGGCAGAGCAGCCGGTGCCCATGTGGGATGCCGGTGCCGCTGGCAGAGGCTTAACCACAGCGCCGGCCCCAGGGTGCCATGATCTTACATGGAAAACAGCGAGGGAGGCCTCGCTGTTCTTTGACAGTAATTCAGTGCAGAGGTTAAAGAGACGCCCACTGTAGGTCTCCGTGCCCCTCTCCCAGCGGCTGTCTCCCTCCCGTTGCGGCTGTCTCCCTCCTCGCTCTCGCAGGCGGTCCCCACGCCCCCACCTGTCCTCACAGACTCCCTGCTGCAGGACGCGTCCTCTGAAGTCAGCCACACAGAGCATGGAGGCTTTGAGGACGGAAGCAAGTTTATCCCACTCCCTTCCATCCCCAGGCTATTTTAATGTTTGTAAGAATATAAATCACAGAGTGTGGTGTTCAGCTGGCGGCTCGGGGCTCTATTTTTAAAACAGCCGTTCCCCCGGGGCCAGCCGGGCTCAGATGCCGAGCTGAAGGAATTCTCCCCGGGGACTCCTCGGTGCTGCCGCGGAACCTGTTCCCCGGCTGGCAGCACAGGACTGGTGACACTGCTCCACTTCTCCTCCCGGCATGCTTTGCAGCCAGACCCCAGGTCACAGCTGGCCTCAAAGGTCAGCATGCCCACCCCTCGCCCACGCAGCTGTCCCCATAGCCTCACGCACTGGGACCCTCACCACCAACAGTGATCCTTCCCCAACTCAGAAATCTTTGAAGGAAATGGGGGCCGGCTTGCATTTGCGTCCGCTGCCAAGCAACCAGGCTTCCAGAATTAACGTCCGGGATTGATCCACACTCCTGGCTTATCAGCCGGGCCCTTTATTCCCCTGCAGTTCCGGGTGAGCCTTTCAACAACTCTCCCTGCAAGTGAGCCCTCCCAGCTGCCGCTCTTCCCACTCCCTGTGCGAGTCCCCGACGTGACCTGGAGCCGGGAGAAAGCCTAAGCCCAGCGGTGGAATTGAGGCAAAGAGACGCAAAGCCGGAACCGAGGGTGCCTCCCAGCAGGCGGAATGGAGCCTGCGAGAGAGGGCAGGGGCCAGGCCGCAGGACCAGTCGGGGTCATCGTCACAGTTACTTCTCGGACAAGAAGAAAATCAGGGAGCGGTGTGGTGTTGAACCCTGGCACACAGGCTGCAAGACGCAAGACCTCCTTCCAGGATACCTACTGCCTCCACTCCCTGTAGTCCCTGGAGCCTCCCCTCTCCTGCCTCATTTTGGCCAAACCTCACGACAGAGATTGATTGATTTGAAAAGCAGAGTTACAGAGAGAGAGATATCTTCCATCCACTGGTTCACGCCCCAGATGCTCACAATGGCTGGCACTGGGACTGGTGCAGGCTGAAGCCAGGAGCCTGGAACTCCACCCGGGTCTCCCACACGGGTGCAGGGGCCCAAGCACTTGGGCCATCTGCCGCTGCTGTCCCAGGCCATAGCAGGGAGCTGGATTGGAAGTGGAGCAGCTGGGACTCGACCCAGTGCCTGTGTGAGATGCCAGTGTTGCAGGTGGCAGCTTCCGCTGCTGTGCCACAATGCCGGGCCCCTAATTTTGTGCTTTTTATTTATTTATTTTTTGGTCCAGACCTCAGTGCACAGAAAAGCAAATCCCCGGGCGATGCTGGAACGGAGAGCAGCCCCCGACTGCCATCCCCGGGGGCCGGTGTGAGGCTCTGGACTCTGGGGTAACTCTCGCTGCTCTTCCCGTCCGCAGGTTCGGCGGTGTGGCAGCTGATTGCGTCGTTCCTGAGGCTGCCCATCTCTGGCACCCACTGCATCGTAGGCGCCACCATAGGATTCTCGCTCGTCGCCATCGGCACGAAAGGCGTGCAGTGGATGGAGCTCGTCAAGATTGGTAATTGCCATTTTCTTTTACCTGTGAGGAGGAAAGTTTACGTGCTTTAGAGTAAGTTGTATCCAAAGTGATTTTTTCATCGGGTTTCCCCCACTTCAAATGCTAAGCTTTATTTATTTATTTTAATAAGGACATGATCCTGGGTTATAAGCCAGCATACCATATACTAGACTCAACATATTTTTTTTTTTTTAAGATTTGTTTATTGCCAGCGCCGCGGCTCACTAGGCTAATCCTCCGCCTAGCGGCGCCGGCACACCGGGTTCTAGTCCCGGTCGGAGCGCCGGATTCTGTCCCGGTTGCCCCTCTTCCAGGCCAGCTCTCTGCTGTGGCCAGGGAGTGCAGTGGAGGATGGCCCAAGTGCTTGGGCCCTGCACCCCATGGGAGACCAGGAAAAGCACCTGGCTCCTGGCTCCTGCCATCGGATCAGCGCGGTGCGCTGGCCGCAGTGCACTGGCCGCAGCGGCCATTGGAGGGTGAACCAACGGCAAAAAGGAAGACCTTTCTCTCTGTATCTCTATCTCACTGTCCACTCTGCCTGTCCAAAAAAAAAAAAAAAAGATTTGTTTATTTATTTGAAATGCAGAGTTATGGAGAGGCAGGGCGGGGGGAGGTGTCTTCCATCCGCTGGTTCACTGCCCAATTGGTCACAATGGCCGGAGCTGAGCTGATCTGAAGGCAGGATCCAGAAGCTTCTTCCAGGTCTCCCATGCGGGTGCAGGGCCTCAAGGACTTGGGCCCTCTTCTGCTGCTTTCCCAGGCCATAGCAGAGAGCTGGATCAGAAGTGAAGCAGCCGGGTCTCAAATTGGCGTCCATATGGGATGCCGGCACTGCAGGCGGTGGCTTTGTCCACTACACCACAGCGCTGGCCCCAGACCCAACTTTTTTTTTTTAAAGATTTATTTATTTATTTATTTGAAAGAGATACAGAGAGAAAAGGGGGGCGGGGGAGAGAGAGAGAGAGAGAGAGAGAGAGAAAGATCTTCCACTCTCTGATTCACTCCCTAAATGGTCATAATGGCTGGGACTGGGACTGGGACTGGTCCATACCGAAGCCAAGAGCCTGGAACTCCTTCTGGGTCTCCCACATGGGTGCAGGGGCCCAAGGATTTGGGCCCTCTTCTAATGCTTTCCTGGGCCATTAGCAGGGAGCTGGATCAAAGTGGAACAGCTGGGACTTGAACTGGTGCACACATAGAATGCCGGCACTGCAGACAGCTTAGCCTTCTACGCCACAGTGTTGGCCCCTTCGGATGTTAAGCTTTAGAAGAGCTGGTATGGGGAGTGCATTTTCCCTTTGAAGTCCTGTTAGTGGAGATTGTGAGAGCTGTTATGTGCGGGCGTCTTTAAACTCTGCTCTCATCAGCTTTGAAAACCAGAATCTGTTTGTTCTTCCCAAGCATGAGAGCAGTGAGTTGGACTGAACCCAGTCTGGACGTCATAGAAAGACTGGGCCCCAGGAAGGTCTGAGAGCTCACAGTCAGGGAGGGAGCGTCAAAGGGAGCCAGCGGCACGTCTGCACCTCACTCTGCTCGTGAGGTCCCATCTGCCCCTAGCGGCAGGGAGGCCCCCAGGAAAGTGGCCAGGTCCCAGGCCTCTGGAGGAGTGGTTCTCAGCTCCAGCTGCACTTCCCAATCACCTGGGCACACAATGGAAAAACGCCAGTGTGCCGAGCTCCCTCCAAACCCTTGAGTAGCCCAGAACCCTGGGGGTGGTAAGAGCTTAGCTCCCCAGGGGCCCCCGTGTGCCCCCAGAGTAGGGAACACAGAGGCCGAAGGGAGAGGCAGGAGTGAGAGCATCAGCAGGCCTTGGAGGTGACCTGTGGGACACGCGCTGATGAGGAGGGCCTGCTCCGGGGCTGATCCGGGCGCAGCCGGGCGCTTGGCCGCTGCTCCCATCTGGAGTGCGGCCGCACCGCGTGACGTCAACCAGGCATTAAGGCCAATTACTGTGGGCACATTCATTAGTGTGTGCTGATTGCTGGTTATCATCGTCTTATGTGAATCTGACCTTGATTACGTATGGATTTTGACATTCATTAGATTTTTCTTCAATTATTCAGTTGCTTCTTGGTTTATATCTCCACTCTTATCTGGTTTCATGTCTGGCGTGCTGTTCATACTGATCAGAATTTTCATCCTTAAAAAGGTAAGTGAGGCGATTTTTGTATTATCATTATTATTATTATTATTATTATTAAACTTTAGAGCTAACGCAGGTCCTACTCAGTAGGAATGAATGGTGGGGGGGTGGGAGGAATAATTGTATTTGTACATCATTGGTTTTGGTTTTTGTTTTGTTTTTTAGAAAGAACCTTTTTTTTTTAAAGATTTATTTATTTATTTGAAAGTCAGAGTTACACAGAGAGAGGAGAGGCAGAGAGAGAGAGAGGTCTTCCATCTGCTGGTTCACTCCCCAGTTGTCTGCAATAGTTGGAGCTGCGTCGATCCCAAGCCAGGATCCAGGAGCTTCTCCGGGTCCCCCATGTGGGTGCAGGGGCCCAAGGACTTGGGCCATCTTCTACTGCTTTCCCAGGCCACGGCAGATAGCTGGATTGGAAGTGGAGCAGCTGAGACTCGAACTGGTGCCCATATGGGATGCCGGCACTGCAGGCGGTGGCTTTACCCCTCTGCCACAGCACCGACCCCTTATTTGTGCATTGTTAAGGCAACAGCACCCTGGCGTGAGTTAGTAGCTAGAAGGTTACTCACCCAGGGACTACTCCAGAAAACAGAGTTACAGACAGGGTTGCTCAGCTTCAAGATTTCGTATTTTTTTCTTTAAGATTTACTATTTATTTGAAACTTACAAAGAGAGGGGGGAGAGGCAGAAAGAGAGAGAGATCTTCCATCTGCTGGTTCACTCTCCAAGTGGCTGCAGTGACCAGGGCAGAACCAGGCTGAAGCCAGGAGCCAGGAGCTTCTTCCGGGTCTCCCACGTGGGTGGCAGGATTGGCTCCAGGATTTAGTTCACCCATCAGCCTTCCCAGGAATGGTGCTGGCTTCAGGAAGGAAAGGTCGCTGTTTTCTGAATGTTAAACGGGTGGAAGGAGGTGGCGTGCAGACTTTGGAACTGACTGGGATTCCAACAACACGGGAGCAAACAGCGCTCTCCCGTCGTCTGAAGAAGGCAAGCTTGAAGCACTGGCTACTTTGAGGAGAGGATAAGAAGGAAGTAGGCTACTGGGCATACTCACCTGAGACGTAAAACAAGACTCAGCACCAGCGAGGCGAGCCCATTTGCCTCTCAGGCCCGTGGCAGAGACGCCTGCCTTAGACTGTCGCACCACACAGCAGCGCCCCTCGCCCGGGATTTGCTCGTCGTAGTTCCAGTTACCCAGTCAGCCACGGTCTGTACGTACTGAGTGGAGAATCCCAGAAGTTCAATGGCACAGCGTTCTGAGTAGTAGGGTGCAGTCTCCCCCGTCCCGCTCGGGCCCCAGCCCTGCCAGGACACAAAGCCTCCCACTGACTCAGTGTTTGCGTGCCGTGTGTGCCACCCACCTGCAAGCCGCTCAGGCAGCCAGCCAGTTCTCAGGGTCGGTGTGCCAGTGCTTGTGTCCAGATAGGCCCTGCGTAAGAGCGCGTGCTGTGTCACGGTCACTCGCCTCGCTGGGGGATCTCCACCCCGTGGGGCTTGTCCCGTCGCGCCATCGCAGGGGGAAGGGTGAGTGCAGTGCACGGAGTTCACGTGGCTTCCAGTCCAGAGCATTGCGAGCACTGGTCCGTAGCATTATTGCTGTGGTTAAGCCTTTGCTGCACCTGACTTCCAAATTAAACTCCACCCCTGGGACGTGTGTACATCTAGGGAAAAGCAGGCAAGCTCACATTTCCGACCTCAGCATGTTTGTACAAAGTGGAATCAAGAGGTAGGGAGTCTGTTTCCGAGCGGGTCCTTCGGAAGTCCACGGGAGCTGTTTTCATAACACGCGCCGCCCAGGGACTCTTGGGAGACCTTTCGAGAAGCAAGGGTTTCAAAATGCATTGCACCAAAACAAGCTTCGTCTTTTACTTCGGTTTTCCACAGACATTTCCAAGGACCCTGGCGTCTCGGGGTGGGGACTCTCTGAGGTTTGAGGCAGCCGGGGGGGGGGCCCTTGGGACGCATGCCCCAGGGAGGAGGGGACCGGCTCCAGCGTTCGCTTGCCCGCACTTCGGGGACACACGTGGACAGGCGGCTCCTCGGCCTTAGCCCTGCCCCGTGCCCCACCAAAGGCGTGTTCCCTTGGAGAAGCGCAAGCATGCCCCCGCCGAGTGCTGCCACCCCCTTCCCCTGGGCGCCAGCCACGCTGATATCTGCTTACGTCTTGGAAGCTGCCACCCCGTCTCGCCTGCCAGCCTCTTCATTTCCTCGATGTGGAATCCGTCCTCGCTGGCACACACACGCCTCCCCAGTCTTCAGGTGTGGCTCCCTGGGCCACCTCCTGGTCTCCTGTCCCCGGCGCTTCCTCCTCGTTGTTGGTGGCACCTTGTGGGCGTCTGTTTCTCCACTCGTTGCTGTTCTGTGACCACCTTGGTCACTTCCGTAGTCCGGTGGCCAGCACTGAGCTGGGCACTGGAAAAGACACTCATTAAATGTTTCAGAGAGAGTGATGGGTGCTGGCCTGGGCGGCAGAGGATGGATGCCTGGGAGGGAGGAGAGGGAGAGGAGGCAGCAGAAGGAGAAAGGAGACAGGGCTCCACCAGATGTTTGCTGTTTGAGGGTTTTTTTAAATTAATTTATTTATTTGAAAGAGTTACAAAGAGGCAGAGGCAGAGAGAGAGGTCTTCCATCCGCTGGTTCACTCTCCAAATAGCCACATTTGGAGCTGAGCCGATCTGAAGCCAGGAGCCAGGAGCTTTTTCCAGGTCTCCCACGCGGTACAGGGGCCCAAGCACTTGGGCCGTCTTCTACTGCTTTCCCAGGTCCTAGCAGAGAGCTGGATAGGAAGTAGAACAGCCAGGAATCAAACCAGTGTCCATATAGGATGCCGGCACTGCAGGCTATGGCTTTACCTGCTACACCACAGCACCAGCTCCTGTTTGAGTTTTGAGAATCTATTATTAAAAGACGTAAGGTGATTTTATTACAGGCACAGGCTCAGTACTGTGTACCTTCAGATGTTTACCTAAGTCTTTTATTAGCAATTCTTGCCCCCAAGAAAGCGATGTCTTGGAACCGGTGTCTGGCCTTGCGGCTGGGCCCTTTCCACGTGATGGAGCATGGGTCAGGCTGCTGGCCATGTCCCTCCAAGCCGTGCTGAGCCCAAGATTCGCTGCCCCTGGCCCTGCCTGGCCTGGTCTGGCCATGGCTCTCTCACACGCGCAGCTGGGCCACTGCTGCCCCTGCTCTCGTTGCCCTGATCTTCCGCTGCCATTCGGCTCAGGCCTCGTGACCAGGGCTGCTCAGGACGCCCCAGAATGCGTTCTCCGTGAGCCGTGCTGTCTGCGTACCTGTTCGCACTTGAGATGGCTCTGTGAGACGGACTCTGCTGACTCAGCCAAGCTTCTGTCGCCCACGTCAACTCTAAGAGCGAGTTTTCCTTTTAATTGTGGTAGGCAGCATGCCCATACAAACGTGTGAGGCTGGCTCGCACGGTTAGAAAATCTTGAGCTGTTTGAGTACCCTCTATGCGCTAGCACGGTGTCCAAGAGTTTGTAGCCCGTGTTTTTGCTTTCAACACCTCCGTAGATCTGCTGAGAGCTCTAACAGTTCCAGTAGTTTCTCAGACGTTATTTAACCTAACACGCACGTGGCACCATTCTCGTTACAGCATTTGGTTTAGGGAATGCCATAGAAGAAGCCTATGTTTGTAGATAAATAACATCGTCCCAGACAAAGAGCCCGCCACTCCTGAACTTTTCATAGTTGAAGATTTGGACACTCCTAGCACCTGGAAATGCATTTGCTTTATGCATTTCAATATAGTTAAAATGTCTGTGTAATAAGAGTGATGTAGAGAATCCTCAGGGGTTTGAGTCTCAACATTTTTATTTATTTATTTGAAGATTTATTTATTTGCAAATCAGAGTTAGAGAGGGAGGCAGATCTTCCATCTGCTGGTTCAATCTCCAGATGGCTACAATGGCTGGGGCTGGACCAGGCGGGAGCCAGGAGCCAGGATCCTCATCTGGGTCTCCCACATGGGTGGCAGGGGCCCAAGCACTGGGGCCATCTCCCTCTGCTTTCCCATGTGCATTGGTAGGGAGCTGGATAGGAAGTGGGGCAGCCGGGACTTGAACCTGCACCCCTATGGGATGCCAGCCCTGCAGGTAGAGCTTTACCCACTATGCCAGAGCACTGGCCCTTAACGTAGTTGTTGAACGTGGACTTCCAGGGCCAAAGTTGAATCTCGCTAGAGGGCTTCGGCCCCCTGAGCTAACTCACCCTAGCGATTCTTCCTGTTCTAACTCTGACGTCAGCTTGTGGAGCCTGGCCCTGGCCCCTGGGTGCAAGGGGTGGGCCACACCCGTGCTGGAGACGACCTCTTGTGGCCATGTGCTGTGTTGCATGAGTCCTGACCTGCCACTCTGTCCCCTTGTTACACAGGAGGACCCCGTTCCCAACGGCCTCCGGGCGCTTCCCGTGTTCTATGCTGCGACCATAGCAATAAATGTGTTTTCCATCATGTACACAGGAGCACCAGGTAAGGCTCCCTCAGGAGCAGAGCTCGCACGTCCGCAGTAGCGACTCAGTCGGCATCGCTGGCCAGCGGCAGGAAAGCGTTTCCTGTGGTCGTGACGGAGTAGCAGAGAGTAGTGAATGCATTTAGCGTGCTAAATGACCAGGAGATGCGGGAGGTGCAACGGGCATCAGAACTTTGGTTTCAAACGAAAGTCAAATCCCCGTTCTGCCGCCTGCCCCACTGTGTTGCTTTAGAAGCTTAACACAACCTCTCTGCATCTCAGAATGGGAACTGATAGCACGCGCAGGCGGGCTCTGCTGGGCCCGGAGAGAGGTGTGGGTGGCAGGGAGGGTGCAGCAGCCAGGTCTGCCCCCTGCCTCCCCCAAGCCTCCACCCTCCCCCTGGTGAAGGGGGAGGGGGTCAGCGTCCAGAGCCCCTACCGGTCCTCAGAGCAGCCTGCATGCTGGCTTCCCACGTGGCTAAAAGCAAGGGGGCTCTGTTTTTAGCAGTGACTCCCAGGTCCCATTCTGGTTGCTTTGGCTTTTTTTTTTTTTTTAAATAAGGGTCTAGAGTTGCTTTGGTGGCGAGGGGGTGTCAGCTAAAAATGAATTCTTTTCTCTTACATTCTGGCAAAACAAAAGCATGTATAGTATTCCTTTTTCTTTTTCTTTATTAAAAAATTAGTTACCTATTTGAAAGGCAGAGTTACAGAGAGAGGTCTTCCATCCTCTGGTTCACTCCCCCAGTGGCCACAGCAGCCATGCTGGTCCAAGCCAAAGCCAGGATCCTGGAACTCCATCCGGGTCTCCCACGTGGGTAGCAGAGGCCCAACACTTGGGCCATCCTCTTCTGCTTTCGCAGGTGCATTAGCAGAGAGCTGGGTCAGAAGCAGAGCAGCAGGGACTTGAACAGCGCTCCTGTGTGGGCTGCCCGTGTGAGCTCAGAACCACAAGGCCAGCACCTCCAGTGTTCTTAAATGCATACGTTTCAGGGTGGTGAGCTGGCAACTTTCTCTGAAATACTTGGGTGCCTGTCTCGGCAGGCAGGGCTTCTCTGTCTGTGACAGGTGCCTCCGAAACACACCCACCACCACGGACACAGGTGGGGGTCAGCAGATCTGTCTGTGTTGTGCGTCATCTCATTCATGTCCTTGATGGCCACATCGCACAGAGAAGTCTCCCTTCCTCTGACCAAAAGTTAAATCTCTGCTAAACGGCGCGTGATAGTAAAGTTGAAAAGGGTCACCTTCCAATATGAGGGGGTGCCCGGGGGGATCCTTGTGGATTTGCTCAGTGTAATCTTACTCAGATTTTATTTGATATACATAATTATATATTGTCTACATCAGCCATGAAAAATCAGTGTGATACGATGCCCACACAGCCTTTAACTTTGGCACCTGCCCTGAGTACTTCTTATCGGGGTTCCTGGCTTCGAGTGATGTTGGGGGGAGGGGGTGCCGGCCTCGCAGCTGCTGTGAGTTACACGGAAGCACAGCCCAAGAGAGGTGGCGTCCCAGCCTCCCAGGACAGCTCCCGTGGTCCCTCTGGGTTCTGTAACTCGTGGGCTAGGAAGTGTGTTTGCTGCAGGCTTTTTTTTTTTTAACGTGTTCTGGGGTCAGTAAAAACACACAGGAGTCAGGAAGGAGGCAGTGCCTTGCGGTGGAGCTCCCTGCACCTCAGAGTGTGGGAGGGGCCTGGGGCGTGGGGCTGCAGGTGCAGGCAGCACAGAGCCGAGCTGTGGACGGCCCCCTACAGGCGAGGTCTCATCCCTCACCTAAGTCAGCTCTTGGATCTCAGGTTAGCCACACACAAAGCAGGGAAGGCCTCAGTACTGTGTATCCCCACCCCCACCCCGGGGTGGTGTCGGATGCCCTGAGCTAATGAGGGCTGTGGATGCCCCCCCCCCCCCGCCCCTGTGACAACTAAAGATGGTTTCCTGTTGCTTCTGCCTTTTGCTTTTGCCTGCTCTGTGTTCGTCTTGCTCCCTGGCTGGGTGTGTGTCTGCAAGGACTTGGCTTTGTCCGTCCCCGGCTGGGATTTTCCGCCTCTCGTTTTTCTTTTCGTCATCTTTTTGCAGCAGTTTTGTTGCACGTGTGCTAAGAGAATCATCTCCCTGGGAGAGTAGATAGTTGTCGGGGACATGAAACCAGATACGGATGGGGCAACCAAGGATGACACGGACGCTTCCCGGGGTGGCTGAGCTGAGCTTTTCACCAACTCATTCTTCGGGGCCCTGCCTCCCCGGGGACACTGGTACTTGGGCTCTGCCCGCAGTGCAGGTGGGAGACTGTGGGATGACAACACGGAGTCCCAGGGTCTTGGTCGTGACATTGCACTGACACGGGAGACCCCGCAGGTCGACCCCGTAGGTCGACCCCGCTCACATAGCACCTGCCACAGGATGCTAACGACAAAGCTTAACAACCTCCACACGTTCATCATCTCTCTTAACTCTTGTCAAAGGTCTCCCAGTATTCAAAGATACTGCAAAAAAAAAAAAAAAAGTTTGTGGGCTTGGAGTTAAAAGATAAGCTCATTCTGGTGCCCAGGAAGTGTTGAGACTGCCATACAAGAGGTCGTCACCAAGTGAATAGAATTTTGCAAGCACCATGCATGGGTTAAAACAAACGGTTTTGTGCAACAATTAACTTAGCTTTTCAGCCCGTCTTTAGAATGTATCTGTTTATTTGAGAGGCAGGGAGATAGATGTATAGTGAGACAGAACTCCCATCTCTGCAAGGGCTGGGCCAGGCTGATGTTGGGAGCTGGGAACTGCATCCACGTCTCCCACGTGGCGGGAGCCCTCACCTGCTGTTTCCCAGGATGTGTACTAGCAGGAACCTGGAATGGGGAGTGAAGCCAGCGCCAGAACCCAGGCTCCAAGCCCCCACCCATGAACCCCATTTCCCCACAAACCTGTGGACGTACCGCCCTATTAGGGAAGCTGCCACGTGAACCGGCCAGCATGGGGGGGGGGGGTTCTTTCTCTTTAGTTAGGAATATTAGAAACCCCTGAACGGGAAGAGCAGCCCCCATCCTGGCGTGGGCACGAGGGGCGGTCGGGGGTGTGCCGTGTCCTCGCACGGCCGCGTCTCGTCCTTTGTCATGAAGCACAGGCAGGGAACAGCGTCTCCACCATCAGTCCCCGTTAGCCTCATCCATTTGGTGCTAAGTTTCCAGGAAGTCCCGAGTCGTCCCCTCTCTCTGTTTCTCCCCATACATGTTTGGGAGACGTTTGGGGGATGGGGGGACCTGCCTGGAGCAGCAGCAAGGGGGAGGCAGTCATGACCCTGAAGGCCCCTGGTGCGTTCCTCCGGTCAGTCAGAAGAGGCTTCTGCTAACGCGCTGGTTCCCCAGGGGTGTTGCTGGAACACCCGGGAGCTGAGTCCGAGGCCACGGAAGCATTGCAGGGGCTCTCTTGGCCTCACAGCAGACTTGAGTCACGCAGGATTTACTCGCTGGGGCCTCTGCACCTGCCAGCCTGTGCCACAGGGGGGCGCAGGTGGTCAGTGCAGCACCACTCGGTCCAGCCGCTCCTTTCAGCAGAGCTCTGCCTTTGTCGCTATCCTCTCTCCCCCTTGGGACGTTTTCTTTTCTTTTCTTTTCTTTATTTGACAGGCAGAGTTAGTGAGAGAGAGAGACAGAGAGAAAGATCTTCCTTCTGTTGGTTCACCCCCAAAATGGCCTCTACGGCCGGAGCTACACTGATCCAAAGCCAGGAGCCAGGTGCTTTTCCTGGTCTCCCATGGGGTGCAGGGCCCAAGCACTTGGGCCATCCTCCACTGCCCTCCCTGGCCACAGCAGAGAGCTGGACAGGAAGAGGGGCAACCGGGACAGAATCCGGGGCCCACATGGGATGCCGGCACTGCAGGCGGAGGATTAACCTAGTGAGCCACGGCTCTGGCCCTGGGACATTTTCATATAAAGGGCCTTGGTGATGAAAGGAGAAAGGGAAGTTCTCCAGCATCACTCTGCCCGAGTTCAGCTCCCAGAGACCCGGACAAACAGCATCTCTAGGCATGGAATGAACCGGAGAGGTGCTGGGTGTCGAGGTCCAGTGTCGTGTTTGCTTCCCACTCTGAATGGCTCTGAAGCTGTTTATGTCCTCAGCTCGATTTGCAACAGACATGACTTACCTCTCATGAGTCATTCCTGAACTTCAGAGACGGAGCTCGCACTCCGGAAGTCGTCTTTGCGTTTTCGTCCTTAAAAACGAACTTGCCAGACCCAGAATAACTCGGGCAGAAAGTGCTTACTTGGGTTGGATGCAAGCCGGAAGTTTATTTGTAATGCCAGGGTCTTCAGATGTGCAGGGCCAGGCTTTTGTGGAGTGCTTGGACAGCATGAGGTGCAGGCAGGCAGGGCTTGTCAGCCGCAGAGGCCTCTGGGAGGGACATCTGACTTCAGGTGAAGGGGAGCTCCTGGGCCAGTCGCGTCCCAGCTGCGCCAGCAGCAGCACTTGGCGGCTCATCAGTGCAGATTCTTGGGGCGTGCGTTGTGGCACAGTGGGTTAAGCTATGGCCTGCAACGTCGGCATCCCATATGAGCATCGGTTCCAGTCCCAGCTGCTCCACTTCCGATCCAGCTCCCCGCTAATGCACCTGGGAAAGCAGCAGAGAATGACCCAAGTATTCGAGTCCCTGCCACCCATGTGGGAAACTCAGATGGAGTTCCAGGTTTCTGGCTTCCACCTGGCCCAGCCCTGGCCATTGTGGGCATTGTGGGGAGTGAACCAGCAGATGGAAGATGTCTGCCTCTGTAATTACCTTTCAAATAAAGAGATCTATAAAAGGGAAAAAAGATGGCAGATTCTCTGGCCCAACCCTAAGCGCCGTAAATGGGAAATTCTCCAGCCCAGCGGCCTGTGCTCTCCCAGGGAGCTCTGTGGAGATTCTGGTGCACGCTCACCTCCTGTGCCGTCCGCACAGCTGCCTCACTGCAGGGCCTGGGTGTCGGGTGCTCTGAGCAAGTTTGAACAGCGGCCTTTGCTCCCTCTGCTGTCCCTGCAAACGCAGCCTCACATGTGCCCAGGCCTGGCGCTGAGGCACCACTGCCGCTGCTGCCCCTCCTCTTCTCCCCCCTCCCCCCCTTCCGCCCTTTTCTGCACTGAAGTGTTGGAGACCATGAAGCTTGGTTCTGTGTGTTTAGTGCAAGGCTAGGGCATCTGTTCCTCTGCCCAGGGCCGTGTGGAGGTCTATAGCATCATTGCCAGCTGACATGTCAGCCAGCTGTGTAGCTTTATTGGATTCTAAGTCCCGCCTGCGGTGGCCATGGGAGGGCCAGACCAGACGATTTAGCGGGCCTCGTGCAGCCCGTGGGCCAGGCATTCCCCACCCCTGATTTACCAGTGTGTGGAGCCATGCAACGTGACTGACCGAGCTGTCCCCCCCGGGAGCCTGCCACCAGGGCGGCGCCTCCTGCTCTTAAAGCCTGCGTTACTGGCACCTGTTCCTCTTCTCTCTCACAATCCCCGCCCCCAGTTCTCCTGGACTCCCGCCTCTGTTCCTCCACCTGACTGTCTTCCCTCCTGGCAGGTGGTGCAGAGGGCAGGGGATGGTGCGTCTGGCCAGCTAAGCAGGGGACAGAGGCCTGGCCACTGAGCTCAGGTCCTGACTGCCCCTCACAGTCCTGCCTGGCCCTGGTTGGGGGCAGGGGAGTGTGGTGATCCCCTCTCCCTCTGTCTTGGGCTTTTCCAGCAGGCACAGAAAAAACGGGGCCTGTTAATGAAAACGCCCTTGCATCTTAGAGAGTGCACAGCCCAGAGGGTTCGCCTCGCCCCCGGGGGCAGCCCTCGCCTGTCTTGCTTCAGCAGAGGAATGGGGCAGACTGCGGCCCGCTGCTCCGAAGCGCTCCCCACTCAGGCTGGTGAGAAACACCTGGGGGCAGAACGCAGCGTGAGGACAGAAAGCTGCCGCCTGGGCCCGGGTGGGTCTGAGTGCTCCCGCAGCTCTGGGGCTGCCGCCTGGGCCCGGGTGGGTCTGAGTGCTCCCTGCAGCTCTGGGGCTGCCCCCTGCGCCCGGGTAGGTCTGAGTGCTCCCCCGCAGCTCTGGGGCTGCCGCCTGCGCCCCGGTGGGTCTGAGTGCTCCCCCACAGCTCTGGGGCTGCCCCCTGGGCCCCAATGGGTCTGAGTGCTCCCAGCAGCTCTGGGGCTGCCCCCTGGCACTGAGCCAGGCCATCCCGGGCCTTCTGTTTCTGGTTTGTATCTGCCTGAACTCTGACCTCCCACTTAGAGTAAGTCGCTGCCTCTTGTGTCACCTCTTGTGACCCTCAGTGGTTTCACAGCCCCCTGATGTTGCCACCGTGCACAGATGGGGATGTGTGCATTGGTAACAGTGTAACAAGGCCTGCATCATTAAACATTAGTGGAAGAGCAGGCCTTTTAAAGGGTTCACTGCGTTAAAATTCAGAAGAAATCTTTGGCCATTTACTAAAGTGGCATCTGTGTTGTGCTTTCTTAAAGTTACCAGTGAAAGTATGCATTGTAAGAAGCAAAAATCTCACTTGTTTCCCATCTTCCCCTAGAGGCAGCCATCGTCTTTCTAGAACTTTCCCTGTGTGCACATGTGGAAGGGGGTGGTTGTCTTTTTTAAACATAAATGCTCCCCCCCTCCCCAAGCACTGTGGCACAGCGGGTTAAGCCAGCACCTGAGACACCGTCATCCCATATGAGTGCCAGTCAGAGGCCTGGCTGCTCCACTTCCCATCCAGCTCCCTGCTACTGTGCCTGGGAAGACAGTGGAAGATGGCCCAAGTGCTTAGGCCACTGTCACCCATGGGAGAGACCTGGATGGAGTTCTAGGCTCTTGGCTTCAGCTTGGTCCAGCCCTAGCTACTGTGGCCATTTAGGGAGTGAACCAGCAGATGAGATCTCTCTCTCTCTCTCTCTCTCTCTATTGCTCCCTCTCTCTTTGTCTCTCTCTCTCTCTCTCTCTTACTCCATCTCTCTGGAACTTTGCCTTTCAAATAAATACATCTTAAAAAAAAAAAAGGTAAATGGACAGGTGCCGCTGCGCTGTGTCCCGTGCAGACCCAGCTCACCTGTGTCTGGGGACCACAGCAATCCCCCATTCCCGTGACGCGTGTCTTGCTCTGCTGGTCTGCACTGTCGCAGCTGGCGCGGTGGTAGGTGTGCTAGCCTGCGCATTGCCGTGCGGTCACACAGGAGCAGGAGTGCCCACGCTGTGCACCCATGAACGCCTGTGTGGGTGTGCCATGCGGTCACACAGGAGCAGGAGTGCCCATGCCGTGCACCTGTGAACACGTGTGTGGGGCGTGCCTGTTGCAACCAACAGGTGGTGCCGAACATGGGACAGCACCCTGGATCTGATGCTTGCTAACAGAATTGCTACCCAGCGAGCACCACTTGTGCACTAACGAAAAACTCTTCTGTGTTGTAATTCTGCCAGCTGACGCTTGGGAGAGTTCTGTGTGAATGCCAGTGTCCTTTCAAGGACCTCTCATTTCTAAGCTGACTTAGCGAGGTTCGCCCGTGTGCTCAGGGCACTGTGCCCCCTTGTGGCGGGGCTGCTGACGGCTGCTGGGACAGGGAGAAGCCGCTCCCAGGGTGGTGTCTGGCTGTCCCTCAGCACAGAGCAGGGCGGACTCCCAGCTTAGCCAGCCACCTAGACACCCAGATAAGACCTAAGTCAGCGTGCCGTTGTCCCACCCTGGGAAGCCTAGATCCAAAGGCTGTGTTCACAAAGCGCTGAGTATACACACCTCACATACAGCATCGTGGCTTTTTGGCTGCGAGTTGTATGAAATGCAGAACCCGGGTCAATCTTGGACAGAGCTGGGGGAGGAAAAGGCGGTGAGGCAGGGCGTGCCCTTGGGAGAGCCCGCGTAACCCCGCCGCTGTCCCCTCTACCTCCCCAGTGCTGGGCCTGGTCCTCCCGCTGTGGGCAATCGTCCTCATCTCCTCCGGCGTGGCGCTGCTCTTCGCCCTCTTCGTGTGGCTCTTCGTGTGTCCCTGGATGAGGAGGAAGATCGCAGGTAAGGGCTCCAATGTCCGTCTGACCCACAGAGACGCCCTGGGCCCCGGGCCCGCACCTGTGGTGCACAGGGGCCCTCCACCTTGTGGAGAGCTGCAATGGCACGTGGCCTGTCTCCCCTGTCCAGCAACCTTGTAAATGCTTTTTCTAAAAAAAAAAAAAAAAAAAAGAGCTGACTGCTCTGTGGCAGTCAGGATAGCGTTGGAGCCAGGAGAGCAGCCAGGTCCGTGTCGCCGCTGGCACCTGGGAGGGGCCACGCAGTGGAGTTCACCAGTGAGAGTGGCTCTGGGGAGAGAGGCCTGCGCTGTGCTCAGAGCTTTCACGGCGACACGTCAAACGGTCGGAGCGCCTGGGAAATTCGGCCCCCGCAGTCTTCCCAGGGAGTTCCCAGACTGACCCAGGAACTTCACTCCTAGGGATTCGCCCGTGAGATGTGGAAGCAGGTGTTCACAAAGAGCCTCGCGTGAAAACACTCTAGCGATAGCTGACGAAAACTGGCAGCAACCCACAGCCCAGGTGTCCCTGAGCAGGTGACCAGGCGAGCCGGTGGTGGTTTGTCTGCCACCCCGGCCTCACAGGGAGCCGCGGGGCCAGCCGTGAGAGCACGCAGAGCGCGTGACTCCACGGTCCTGTTCAGATTGCATGGGGTTTTCCAGAAGACGAGAGCACACCAGTTACTCTATGGGGACAGAAATCCCTGGCTGCCTGAGCCAGCTGGGGTCTGGGGGACACAGCACAGGGGTGCAAGGGGACTTTTCAGGAGCACTGGGGATGGGGTGATCAGGATGGGGGTCCTCACTTGTCACAGATCATCCCCCCATGTGTACGTTCAACATGTATGGGTTTTATTGGCGTCAGTTTGACCTTATAAAGACACTGCATTAAAAAGGAGAAGGTGGTTTAGGACGTCAGCTGGAGATGTTTTCTTAGCACCAGCCTTCCAAGCCTCCAAGCTTTTGCAAGGCTCCCTCCACAGAGAAAAGACACGCCCACCTTGGGCTGTAGGGGGTGCCTACTGGTGTGTGACCACGTGCATCTGTCTGGATTTGAAAATCCTTGTTTGCGCTCGTGCACTACAAGGCCCAGTACAGCACCGACGTCGGTTCTTCTCAGTGTAAATGCAGATCCCAGCAGGGTGTTGTGTAGATTTCGACAAGCTGCTTTAAAAGTTTTGGAGGGGCGGTATGCTCATGGGTACATGTTGTTAGCCATTTGTCAAAACGCACCGAATGTATCAAGATGAACCCTAATCTAAACTCCGGACTTTGGATACTAATGATGCGTCAGTAATTACAGCGAATAGAGGAGTGTTAATGACTGGGCAGGTACAGGAGCAGAGGCTGTATGGCACTGTCTGTACCTTCCTATCAATTGTGTCATGAACAGAAAACTACACTAAAAATGAAATTTATTCCAAAAAAATTTTTTTTAAAAAATTGCGGGTACTTCAAAGTTCGTGGAAAATTGGATAAAAAGAGCAGTTTATTTTGGTGCAAAAAACATTGGAAATCCATCCATAATTTTTTCCGCATAAGCATTTTCTATGAACTTTTCGAAGAACCCTTATATGTGGAAATTCTAAAGACTAAAATAGCCAAGATAGTTTTGAAAATGGATTCACTTGAAGGGCTCACACCGTCTGATTTTAAGACTTGGAAGACTGATAGAAAGTTGCAGGGCTGTGACGGTGGTGAAAATGTGAATCTGTGCATTACAGCAGAAGAGTCCAGAGGTAGCCCCACACCTGTCAGGTACAAAGGCAGTTCAGTGGAGAAAGGGGTCTTTTCAACATGGTGTCAGATGGATTAGACATTCACGCACCCCCCAAAAAAAAGAAAAAAAAAAAAGGAAACTTAATCTAAGCCCTCCACCTTATAAAAAAACTAAGATGTGCCATGGATCAGAATGCAAAGTCAGAAAACAGGGAGACTTTCAGGGAGGGAAAAACAGAGGGAAAGCTTTGGGCTCAGAGTTCTCAGATCTAGCATCAAAAACCAATGCACAAAGAAGAGATGAATGAATTGTACTTGATCGAAATCAGGAACTGTTGCTCCATGGGGAACACGACGAAGAGATGGGAAAGACAGTGCACAGACAGGGAGAAAGCAGTTGCAAAGCCCCTGGCTTGCACTCAGAAGAGACAGATTCCAGGAAGCAGACAAGCCCGTTAGAAAGATGTCACCCAAGAAGACACGAGAAGGGCCAGTAAGCCCACCCAACAGGTGCTCAGCACCGAGCCGTGCGGGAAACGCAGGCTGAATTCAGAGTGAGCCGTCCCTGCACACCGCCAGAGTGTGCTGGTTACAGGCACGCGCCGCCAGCCAGGAGGCCGGGCAGCCGGAGCTCGTGCCCAGGTCAGGCAGCTCTTTAGCAGGGTGACCGTGCACGTTCCCTGAGCAGTGTCCGCGCCACTCTTGCCTATTTCCACATCCGCGCCAATATCTGTCCGAGAGTATCCATGGCACCTTCATTTGCAATCAGTGAAACTGGAACTAACCCCGGTGGTGCACAGAACAAGCTGCGGCACGTCGCCAGGCGGCGAGGAGGGGTGGGAACGGGCTCCGGCTGAGCTAAAGTGGCCTGCCACTGACTTCATCCACTCGACTTCCTGAAACAGGCCGAGTGCAGGTGTTACCGGAGAAATTGCAGGGTTCTTGTCTTCGCGCAAGAAATAATTCAGGCGTGAGACAGAGAGTAGTGGGAGGTAAAATAGCAAGGTTTCTTAGGGCAGGGACATCCGTAAGAACGGATGGGCACCTCTCCAGACAGGGCCTGAGAGACTTGGTGGGGGGGGGGGGTTACATGGTTGAGTGGAGAGATTACACCTGACCAGGCCAGCCGGGCAGCTCAGCAGAGAGGCAGAGGGCTGAGCGCGCAGTCCAGTTGAGGCCGGGGGCTTTTAAGGAGATGGGTCTTGCTTCCCCACCTCTGCTTCTCTTGGAACAAAGGGCTTTTTGGATGTAAATAGAAAAACTTCTATCTGAGTTTTCCCTTGAAGGTATCAGACAGGAGGAAGCCTAGCTGGCACCATCCTGGGTTCAGAGGAAGGGTGAGCAGGACCCCTAGAGAATGGGGATCGGGAGCAGGGTGTTTGAAATGCAGATACTGGGCTGCATCTGGGAGATTGTGGAAGGTTTGTCAGGCAGAAGGGGCAGGGACCTCCACCTGGCAGGTTATCAGGTAGAAGGAGGCAGGGCACGATGTGAATACCCGGCTGCCCCTGAAACATTGTCAGGATGACTGAGATGCAGATGCATATGCTGGACATAGATGTCTTCTCTTTAGGCCTTTATGTCACACACACATAAGCTCATAACTGACTTCCTACCTAACACAGGGACCACAGCAGCCAGTTCCCTGGGGGTCAAGGCTGGGGCTGGGCAGGGCGGGCGGGTGATGGGCTGTTCTCGTGCCAATGAGGGTGGCAATGACCCTGACACGAGTCTCGGGTCCCCGGGTCGTCAGTCTGCTGCGTGTTAACTTGACCAGCTAATAATTTGGAAATCCCCATTAACACATCCCCAGGCCTCCTAGGGAGGCCACAGTGCTGGTGGATTAAGAGCAGTTGACGGAGTCTACTTCCTGCTCTGTGCTGCAAATAAGCATGGTCTCTGCCCACGGCGAGCCCCCCACACCTGCCCCAGGCACCCACTGTCCGTCTGACTTACTCAAACAGGAAGGATAAAATGAGCCCCATGCTGCATCCTTAGGGCCTTTCCTTGATAGCTAACCAACCTTCATTTCACATGAGGGGACTTCAAAATGTTTGTGGAAAATGGAATTAAAAGATGAGCTTATTTGAGTGCAAGACAGTTTTGAAATCTATGCTTAGTTTTTGTTTTGTTTTCAAAATGCACATTTTCCGTGAGGCTTTTGAAGATCCTTAGGAGACCTTAAAATCTTTGCTCTCAGCTTTGGCTGTAATACCACAGCAGGAGACCTGCCTGTCCCCGACAGCTGGATTTTCTGGCCAGCATTCTCCAGAAAATTGACGGAATTCCGGATGTTGTTTCCGTGTCTGTAGTTTTGTTTGTTTGTTTCTTGCCCCCGGGTAAGTACCAGCAGATAAAGATGTGAGGGGCCATGGAGGTATTTGTGGAATTTGAAATGAAAAGCTGAGTTTATCTTAGGTACAGACACGAAAACTGAGCAAGCCTCCAAAGAGTTCACGGGAAAAACTGTGCTTGGAGCGTGCAGTCTTTTTGTTTTTTTTTTTTGGTGCCCAAATCAAGTTGCTTCCATTTTCCGTGACCTGTTCGAAGCATCCTGTCCACATCCCTCTTCCGGTCACAGGAATCCCTTTGCAGGTTCTCATTTACGACTGTACCTCTTTAGACAAACTACAGAAAGAAAGCGCTTTGTCGCGAGCATCTGACGAAAGTCTCGGTCAAGTCCAGGAGGCCGAGTCCCCAGCATTCAAGGAGCTCCCGGGCGCCAAGGCCAGTGATGACAGCACCGTCCCTCTGACCGGACCCGCCGGGGAGCCAGCTGCCACTGCCGAGGGTGCCCCAGCCGGACACCACCCCCGGGCCACCTATGGTAAGCCTGGGCAGCCTGCTGCCAGTGCTCGCAGGTGGAGTCCCGTTGTGTAGTTGAGACAGGCCACAGGGGGCTGGGGGCGGGTGCTGGAAAGGGCCCAGAGACCACTCCCTGGGGGAGGCGAGCTGGCTCAGGTGCCTGCCACCCACAGAGCATACCCGCACCCTGCCCTGCAGCCCGTGAGGAGACAGCTCAGCGTGGAGGGGAGGAAGTGGTACCGTCACAGACTCAGAGACCTTAGGAACCCCCTGAACACCCAAGGTTGCCCGTTAGCTGCAGGAGCAGTGGACGGCGACCAGTGAGCTGCAGCCTCTATGCCCAGCACCCTCCAGGTCCTGGCGGGGAGGGGCCCTGGCACCTGCTTGCCACAGGTGCCATCTGGGACTGGCCCAGGAGAGCAGTGTGGCCTGTGACGCTGTAAGAAACGCCTGCAATGGCCGTCTTTACCTGAGCTGAGCTTTGACTCCGGAATGCAATTTCCTGAAATAAGTCCCTTCTAAAGACAGTCTCCGTCGGGCTGTGGCAGTTCCTAGAAGACTTAAGTCACATCATTTTTAAAGATGGTGTTACAGCTTTTACCCTCTTGCTGTAGGCTTCCAGTTGTTTTAATTTAATTCTAAAGCCACTGCGTGTCCTTCATAGTCAACTTAGAAAATGGAGTGGACAGAAAAAACTGCAGGGAGACCTGGATGGAGTTCCCAGCTCCTGGCTTCAGCCTGGTCCAGGCCCGGTCCCAGCCCTTGCAGGCGTTTGGGAAGTAAACCAGTGGGTGGAACTCCCTCTCTGTCCTTCTCTGTCTACCTCTCAAATAAGTAGACAGTTATGAAAATTTATTTAAGCTTTATTTTATTTATTTGAAAGCAGGGTGACAGGGGCCGGCGCCGTGGCTCACTTGGTTAATCCTCCGCCTGCACCGCTGGCATCCCATGTGGGCGCCGGATTCTGTCCCGGTTGTCCCCTCTTCCAGGCCAGCTCTCTGCTGTGGCCTGGGAGTGCAGTGGAGGATGGCCCAAGTGTGTGGGCCCTGCACCCCATGGGAGACCAGGAGGGGGCACCTGGCTCCTGGCTTCGCACCGGCCGTAGCGGCCATTTGGGGGTGAACCAATGGAAGGAAGACCTTTCTCTCTGTCTCTCTCTCTAACTCTGCCTGTCAAAAAAAAAAAAAAAGAAAAAAGAAAAAAGAAAAATGTCTTTCAGGAAGGGCCCTTTCCATGACTCACGGCTCTGCAAAGTCCCCCATCTCCAACGGCACGTTCGGCTTTGACGGGCACGCGAGGAGCGACGGGCACGTGTACCACACGGTGCACAAGGACTCAGGGCTGTACAAGGACCTGCTGCACAAGATCCACATCGACAGGGGCCCGGAGGAGAAGCCCGCCCCGGAGAGCAGCTACCGCCTGCTGCGCCGCAACAACAGCTACACCTGCTACACGGCCGCCATCTGCGGGCTGCCCGTGCACGCCACGTTCAAGGCCGCCGACGCGCCCTCGGCCCCCGAGGACAGCGAGAAGCTGGTGGGCGACGCCGTGTCCTACTCCAAGAAGCGACTGCGCTACGACAGCTACTCGAGCTACTGCAACGCCGTGGCGGAGGCCGAGATCGAGGCCGAGGAGGGCGGCGTGGAGATGAAGCTGGCGTCCGAGCTGGCCGACGCCGCGCCGCCGCACGAGGACCCGGCCGAGGAGGAGAAGGAGGAGAAGGACACGGCCGAGGTCCACCTGCTCTTCCACTTCCTGCAGGTCCTCACCGCCTGCTTCGGATCCTTCGCCCACGGCGGCAACGACGTGAGGTGAGTCGGCGCGGGCAGCGCGCCACCTGCCGTCCCACTGGGAGGAGTGCAAGCAAGGGTCTGGCTCCGCACAGGCAGGCGGAGGTCTGGTGTGACAGTGAAAGAGCCGGGAGCCGCGAGGGACTCAGGCTCAGAGGCCTGGCCAGGAGGGTGCTGCTGGGGGGCGTCACCGTGTGGGGCCAGCCCCCGCCATCTCTCGGGATTGGGCTCCTTGGTGAGATGCCGGGGGGCTGCATGCTGGGGACAGAGTCATGTAACTGAGCCTTTCCTCCAGTCCCCGCCAGGAGCGGGTCCAGGCCACCTGTGGGCTCGGCGGGTGTAGACCTGGGCGCCGGGTGTAGCAGTGCAGTAGGCATTCTTCCCCGCCTCACCTGGCGGGGCCCACACCGGGCCTGGCCCTGCAGGAAGCAGAGCCGCCTCCTGGAGTCCAGCAGCTCCACTTCCCACCTGGGGCCTGGGGCCCTGGAGAAGTCTCTGTCCCCAGATCTTGGTTTCCGTCTGTACCATGGGATTTCCGTGAGGACCCGAGCCAGGCTTTGTCGAACGTGGCTGGGACGGGGCCCCTCGGGTTGTCACTGTCCACACGCTTTCGCTGGTACTGTCAGGGTCTCCATCACGCAGGACCGGTGTCTCTGCTGTGGTCTTGGTTATCGGGTCACATAGGTAACCATGGGTTTCCACCATCTGCCTGTGTGCACCCGCGTTTCTGTCCTCAGTGAGAGAAGCCTTGTCACCAGACAATCCCCTGGGTCTTAGGTTCTGTCCAGTGTCTTGTGGGCGTGTCCAGGATTTTTTTTTTTTTTTGAAGGTTTCTTTCTTTATTTATTTGAAAAGTAGAGTTATATAGAGAGAGGTCTCCCACCCGCTGGCTCACTCCCCATATGCCCTCAATGGCCAGGGCTGAAGCCAGGAGCCTGGGACACCATGCGGGTCTCCCACGTGCTTGGGCCATCTTCCACTGTTTTCCCCGGTACCTTCACAGGCAGCTGGATTGGAAGTGGAGCAGCTGGGAATCAAACCAGCCCAGTGACATCACTAGCCTCTCCGGAGTATTTTATGTGGATGCCCTGTTCTGTCTCATCTTAGCAATGTGTCTCACCACCCTGCTCCAGCCAACCCCACTGGCCAGCCCGCTTCCTCCTCATCACTGATTCTTTTATTTTTAAGATTTATTTTATTTATATGAAAGAGTTGCAGAGAGAAGTAGATCCAGAGAGAGAGAGAGGTCTTCCATCCTCTGGTTCACTCCCCAGTTGGCTGCAACGGCGAGAACTGAGCCAATCCAAAGCCAGGAGCCAGGCGCTTCTTCTGGGTCCCCCACGTGGGTGCAGGGGCCCAAGGACTTGGGCCATCTTCCACTGCTTTCCCAGGCCATAGCAGAGAGCTGGATCGGAAGTGGAGCAGTTGGGACTCGAACTGGCGCCCATATGGGATGCCAGTGCTGCAGGGTGGGGCTTTAACCCGCTATGCCACAGCACTGGCCCCAGTCACCGATTCTTTACAGAGTGCTTGGTGGTGCCTCCCAGGGTGCACACGGGCAGGAAGCTGCACTCAGCACTGGAACTGGGAGTCAGCCCCAGGCGCTCCCAGGTGCATCCTGGCATCCCAGCTGGTATCTTATCAGCTGCCGTAAACACACACCCCTCCCTGGTGTCGGGGCTCTTGAGCAGGGGTGTCGCCTGAGAGAAGCAAGGTTCTAGCAACAATAGTGTGCACTCAGACTGCGCGCCCACCTCACACCCGGGCCGCCTCTGGCTCACCACATGACCTTGACCTCGACCTCAGTTTCCTGGGCAGTAAAGTGGGGGTGGTGGTGAGCAGAAATGACCAGCAACCAACTGTGGCCCCAGACAGGACCAGTAGCTAATACTGTTAGCGACACTACAGGGTAGCAGTCAAAAGAAATTTGAGAGAAAAAAAGAACTTGCTTATTGTGTCCATTTCTTGTGATTTTTTTTTCCAGTACTTAAAAAAAACCTGAATGAGTCACACACTCATTACAACAGCTAGTATGAAAAAAAGAAACAGACAATAACAAGTGTTGGCAAAGCTATGGGGAAACTGGGACCCAATGCATTTTACCCCAGTAGAAGCAGGCGGTCAGTGTGTGGCCACCAGGTCGTGTGCGTGAGCCACCAGCTGTCCTCGGGCTGAGAAGTCACTGTGGATGGCGCCCCCACGCTTACCGGGGTGATTGACGGGCTCTGTTTTTGTTTTGTTTTGTCCCCCCCCCCCAGCAACGCCATTGGGCCCCTTGTGGCTCTGTGGCTGATTTACAAACAAGGCGGGGTGATGCAGGAAGCCGCCACTCCCATCTGGCTGCTGTTTTACGGAGGAGTTGGCATCTGCATGGGCCTCTGGGTCTGGGGGAGAAGAGTGATCCAGACCATGGGGAAGGACCTCACTCCTATCACGCCATCCAGGTGAGCCCGTGGGCCGTCCCCTCGGCGTAGCCACCCTGTGGCCCAGTGTCACAGAGAAGACAGGGCCAACATCCGCGCCCTGTCTGGCCGCACTCTCCTGCCCCGTCTCAGCAGCATGGAGCAGGAGGGCCAGAAGGACCGGGGCGGGGGGGGGGGGGGGCTTGAATCAGCGCAGAGAGCGAAAGAGGGGCCCAGCCTCCGCCCCCCACCAGGTCCCTCAGGTCCAGGGAGCAAGTGGACAGGAGGCTGCAGACTGAACCATGGCCCCAGCCTCGCCACCTGCCCCGACACTGCGCACCCGGCCCCGTGGGGGTGCACCTGCTGCCTGCTGCGTGGGGGTGGGGGGCGGGTACCGTGTGGCCCTGAGATGCTTTGGGACTATAGCCAAAACGTGGAGCTGCACGTCACAGGAGATGCTTCTCTTTTCTAAAAAGCAACATCCGGAAAGGCGCTGCCTGCTAGCCTTTCAGCTTCCTGCCTCCCCTCCCCCAATCCCTTGAAATTCATTTCAATAAGAGTCTTTGTAAGAAGGCTGATGTGGAGAAGGATGAGTGAGGAGGACGCTCGGGCTGTCTTCCCGCACAGCGGGCGTTTATGACCCAGTTCCAGCCGCGTGGGCCCCCGGGGGCGGGAAACGGGACCGTGGCTCGTGCCAGGGCTGACAAAGGGCCTGTGCTGAGCCCTCTCTGCCCCCGCCCCCCGCAGCGGCTTCACCATCGAGCTGGCCTCGGCCTTCACCGTGGTGATCGCCTCCAACGTGGGACTTCCAGTCAGCACCACGCACTGCAAGGTAGGTGCCTGCCAGCCAGGCGGAGGCCGCCCCCTGGGCGCCCATCTGTGCCGGGCAGAGTCGTGGGGACCCCTGGGTCCACGGGCTGTGCTGGCTGGGTGTCTAGGCCGCCGCTAGGCGTGGCCCAGTGCGGCATGTGTGAATGTCAAGTTCTGTGGCCCAGTGCTGCATGTGTGAATGTCAAGTTCTGTGGCCCAGTGCTGCATGTGTGAATGTCAAGTTTTGTGGCCCAGTGCTGCATGTGTGAATGTCAAGTTCTGTGGCCCAGTGCTGCATGTGTGAATGTCAAGTTCTGTGGCCCAGTGCTGCATGTGTGAATGTCAAGTTCTGTTTCGAGAGGACTGTCAGCCGGGGCGCTCTGCAGAGCATGAGGAATGGCCTTGTTGGGAAGAGCTTTTCTGGTTGTTTCTTTCTGCTACAATGTACGGGAGAACCTGCTTTCCCACAAATTTCCGACACATAGAGTGCCAGGCGTGGTGGTCAGTGCTTCGCACCTGCACTGGAAGTCGTTAACCCCCGTGAGAGCAGTGCTCCTCCCCAGTGAGCACAGGAGAAAGCAGAGCCCTGACACGGTCAGTGTGCAAGGGAACCGGGGTCAGACCTGCCCCCCCCCACCGCGGTGCACAGCTGCACCACGGAGCCACCCCAGCTGAACCACGGCACCACGAGCCCTCTGAGCGCCGTCCAGTGCCCTGTGAATGTGAGCTCTTCCCCAGAGCCTCTGCAGGTCTTACAGGTGAGGCAGCTCAGAGAGGTTAAGCCACGTGCCTGAGATCACACAGCGAGGAGAGGCAGAGCTGAGATGCCAGCGCAGGTGCCCAGCCTACTTCACGGGGCACCCCTGCCTTTCATCAAGTGCTAGTGTTCTCCTTCTGGTTGTTTATTTATTTTAAAGACTTGTTCATTTATTTGAAAGGCAGTGTTACAGAGAGAAGGAGAGAGAGATCTTCCATCCACTGGCCCACTCCCCAAATGGCCACACCAGCCAGAGCTGGGGTGATCTGAAGCCAGGAGCCAGGAGCTTCCTCCAGGTCTCCCATGTGAGTGCAGGGGCCCCAAGCCACCTTCCGCTGCTTTCCCAGGCGCATTAGCAGGGAGCTGGATTGGAAGTGGAGCAGCCTGGACTCGAACCAGCGCCCATATGGGATGCCAGTGTTGTGGGTGGCGGCTTTAGCCGCTATGCCCCAGTGCCGGCACCCTCTTCCAGTTATTTAAAAATGATCAAGAAGCCTATGCTCCCCGAAGCCACGGAAACAACCCAGAACCATCCAGAGCACAGCGCCGCCACCGCGCCCTCGCCAGCGGCTCACTGTGGTGGCGCACGGAGCACATGCACATTAGGAAGACACGCGCTTTCCCGAGGAAGTCGGGAGCTAGCCGTGCTGCGGGCAGCTTGTAAACCAGCACCATGCCCGCCGTCTGTCTAGTGCTGAGCCCGGCACCGCAGCCCCCCAGAGAAGGCACCTGCCAGCCCGCCGGGGGAGAGAGAGGCTGCTCTCCACGTGGTCGGCGTGGGCTTGCCCAGCTGTTTCAGCAGCAGCGCGGCCCCTAACTCACCGACGATCCAGAGTTGGCCAGTGACACTGAATAACCCTAAACTCCAAGAGTACCACTTCTAGAAGCAGACGGGAAGCAGAAAATGCCTTCAAAAATGAACCGTGAACTCCTCGATTGGGTCTTACCATGTCACGCCCCCAGTGTTTCTGTTTCTGCTGCAATAAGGTTGGGGTGACTGAAGGACTTGTGTCCAGTTCGTAGGGGGCCTCAGGCACACGTCACTGTCACACGGTATCTGTGCAGATCCCACGGAGGTGCGTCAGCGCCATCGGTAAACGCGAGAAACAGAGACCAACCCAGGTCCCCACCTGCTTGTCCCATGGTGTTGTCCAGGAACCGCTAGGCCAAGCCCCGGGCAGGGTCCTGGCTCCCAAGACCTTGCGGGCCGGCAGAACAAGTGACACCCAGCAAAGTCCCAACCCTAGAGGTCCTGGGAAGAGCCCGCAGCCACAGCCAGCCGCCGCACTTACTCCCTTGCAGCACGTGCGTCCCCGTGGGCAGACGTGGGCAGCAGAAGAGCAGGGCCCGTGGGAGGGAAGTGTGACCTGGGAACCTTCCCAGAGGGTCCACGTCCGCTGGGTGCCATTCCTGAATGTACTGGTCCAGGAGCTGTTCTGTGCCTGGTCTTCGAGGTCCTTGCTCAGAGCCAGCCGTTGGACGGGGGTTGGGCACTTGGCAGGGGAAAAGATGCCAACTCTTGTCTTCAGGTGAGCTTTCGAATTCGTGCAGATCTCATCACACTTCCTCCTGTGTGGCCGTAGCTGGGTGCTCGGCTTTGCTGTGGCCGGTTTAAAGCAGTCAGTGATACACACGTTAGCTGAATGGATGATTTGGGAAAGAATAATTCAGAAATGATACTCTCCCATTTGATCCCTGGAGGCATATTTAGGACAGTCTGCGTTTGCTTGTAAATGTTGCTCCGTAGAAGTGTTTCCGTTTCCTGCGTGTCCGTGGTGTGGATTTTGCTCTAGGACTTGATTATTGGATACTTCGCTGGGCTCACGCCGCTGGCTAAGGTCGGAAGCCTTAGTCAAAGACACAGAACCTGGTCTGGAAAACGCAGCTTTCCCAGCCACATTTGACTGCAGCGTGCTAGTCAGTCTTCCCTGCTCTGACCGGGAGCCTGACACAGGACACACGAGTCCACTACCCCGGGCAGAGGTGGCTTGGGAGCCCTGTGGTAGGAAGGAGGGGTGACATTACTGGAAGCGGTAGAGTTCCCCGTGGGGTGGAGGGAGAGTGTGCCCTCGCGGGGACTGCCCATGATGTCAGCCTGCAGCGAGGAGCCGCACAGCCACCCACAGCCCAAGGTCTGGAACAGCAGCATGTGGGAAACACTGCTTAAAGATGTTGAGTTGCAGTTTATTGTTTAATATCTAATTCTTGCTTTCTGGTTCCCTTCTCAGTAATTCTGTCAGTATCCAACGGTGGGCCTTACGTAACCTGGAACCATAATTTCTTAAAAGGGAAATTAGAACACAGCAGGGAATGCCAACTTTTATGCATTTTTAATTTTACTTAAAAGCAGAGAGGGGCCGGTGCTGTGGTGTAGCGAGGAAAGCTACTGCCCGCAGTGCTGGCATCCCATATGGGTGCTGGTTCAAGTCCCGGCTGCTCCTCTTCCGATCCAGCTCTCTGCTATGGCCTGGGAAAGCAGTAGAAGATGGCCCAAGTGATTGGGCCCCTGCACCCACATGGGAGACCCACAAGAAGCTCCTGGCTCCTGCTGCCAGCACCTGCTGCCTCCCATGGTGCACAGTAGCAGGAAGCTGGCATTAGGAACAGAGCAGGACTGGAACCCAGGCATTCATTACGGACGCAGGTGTCTCGAGCAGTCTCTTTGTTTTTTAAAGATTTATTTATTTATTTATTTATTTATTTGAAAGTCAGAGTTACACAGAGAGAGGAGAGGCAGAAAGAGAGAGAGAGAGAGAGGTCTTCCATCCGCTGGTTCACTCCCTAATTGGCCGCAATGGCCAAAGCTGCACCCATCCAAAGCCAGAAGCCAGGAGCTTCTTCCAGGTCTCCCACGTGGGTGCAGGGGCCCAAGGACTTGGGCCATCTTCCACTGCTTTCCCAGGCCATCAGCAGGGAGCTGGATCGGTTGTAGAGCGGCCAGGTGTTGAACCAGTGCCCATATGGGATGCCAGCACTTCAGGGTGGGGGGGCTTTAACCCACTACGCCACAGCACCGGCCCCCCAAACAGTATCTTAACCACTGCACCAAATGTCCACCCCAGTGTTGTTATATATCAGCCGAAGATGACATCAACCATGAAAACATACTGTGTCTTTTCTGAGCCAAAGAACATGTAACTGCTGAACTGACAGAGCAAAGCTGTTAGACCTCAGAAATTACTGAAGTTGAGCCTAGGACAAATGAAGGAGGGGCATGCTAAGGAGCGAAAGGAGTGTGAAGCATGCATTGAGAAGAGACTGGTCGGTAAGCATGTACCAGGTGATGATCACACGCCGCCTTGCATCACTTTAAAAATTAGTCATAAACGTAGATAGTAAGTGAATAGTTAAGCATTTTGAAGTAAACCGAGATTAAAGTCTCTCTAAAGTTTTTAAAACGGAATTGTGTTAACCAGCACTCTAATCACAAAGAAGTGAAACTGGAAATTGATGTGTTGAAACACAGTATGGAGCATCTTTTTTAAAGATTTATTTATTTACTTGAAAGTCAGAGTTACACAGAGAAAGGAGAGGTAGAGCGAGAGAGAGAGAGGTCTTCTATCCGCTGGTTCACTCCCCAGTTGGCCGCAATGGGCAGAGCTGCGCTGATCTGAAGCCAGGAGTCAGGAGCTTCTCCCTGGTCTCCCACGTGGGTGCAAGGGCCCAAGCACCTGGGCCATCTTCTATTGCTTTCCTAGGCCATAGAAGAGAGCTGGATCGGAAGTGGAGCAGCCAGGACTCGAACCAGCACCCATATGGGATGCCGGCATGGCAGGCAGTGACTTTACCTGCTGTGCCATAATGCCGGCCCCAGCCCTGGAGCATTTTCAATACTCTTTTAAGTGACAGTTGAATAAAGGAGTTTAACAAATATATATGACAGCTTTCTTGGGAAATACTAGGCACCAGCTGTATACACGTGACTGCACAGAGCACCGCCCCGGCAGCCAAGGGTCCTGTGGGATGACAGTCCCCATCTGCAAGTGGTTTAATTGATGCACAGGCAAATACCAAATTGGGATTTCATAAAAAGTCCAGAGCAGTAAAAATCCTGAGGAAATAGAGGATATGAGAAGTTCAAGAGCACAACAGGGGTGGGTGTTTGGTGCAGCGCTTAAGACCCCAGCTGGGACACCCACATCCCGTATCAGTCAGACTGTCTGCGATAGTCCCAGCTCCACGTCCAGGCCCAGCTTCCTGTTAGCGCACACCCTGGCAGGAGCGGTGATGGCTCAGGTCGTGGGTTCCGGCTACCCACAGCGGGGACCTGGACCGAGTTCTGGGCTCCTGGCTTCAGCCTGGTCTCCCAGGTTGAGGAATAAACCAGCAGACGATGGACAGTATTTCTGTCTCTCTCACTCTGTTTCTGTGTGTTGTGTGTGTGCCTGTGTGTGCCTCACCGACTCTCTGCCTTTCAGAAAAAAATTAAGTTGACCGTTCAATGTTTAAAAACGTTTTTTAAATAAAAACACAATAAATTAAAAAACAGCGGTGAAGATGAAGAAGGCTAGTGGTTACACATAAAATAATAGCAAACCACATCATGGAAAAGGAGGAAGGGGAATTGAGTTAAAAAGGAGAAAGACGGCCGGCGCCGCGGCTCACTAGGCTAATCCTCCACCTTGCGGCGCCAGCACACCGGGTTCTAGTCCCGGTCGGGGCGCCGGATTCTGTCCCGGTTGCCCCTCTTCCAGGCCAGCTCTCTGCTGTGGCCCGGGAGTGCAGTGGAGGATGGCCCAAGTGCTTGGGCCCTGCACCCCATGGGAGACCAGGAGAAGCACCTGGCTCCTGGCTCCTGCCTTCAGATCAGCGCGGTGCGCCGGCAGCAGTGCGCCAGCCGCAGCGGCCATTGGAGGGTGAACCAACGGCAAAGGAAGACCTTTCTCTCTGTCTCTCTCTCTCACTGTCCACTCTGTAAAAAAAAAAAAAAAAAAAAAAGAAATAATTATAATAACAGAATTGTTTTAATTATGGAAGAAACCACACGGATATATGCTAAGGGCTTGAAAACCTCTGAGAACAGCACAGAAATGTTGGCATATGGAGTAGGAAAACAAGTGTACAGCCCTGAGCAGCACTTTAGGACAAGATTAAGGGAGTCTTCCAAAAAGAGTGATTCTCACCCAAAAAAGCAAAAGGGAAGGGGTCACCGCCGGCTGCCCTCGGGGTAGATGCATACATTTCCTCCACCAGAAAGATTAATTCTCACATTAGGGAAACTTTCCCCGCGAAGGAGGGACAATTGCAGACCTGGAAACTCGGGTTCCTTCTACACAGCATACGCCGATATTCCTGATGCCAGAGCCCAGTGTAACGCATCCCGAACTAGAGAAGCCGTAGCCACACTGACGATAAATGACATCAACAGTGTCATCAAGAACAGCGGGGCCATGTTGATAACTTTTTAAAGACATTTATTTATTTTGAAAGGCAGAGTTGGAGAGAGAGAGAGAGATCTTCCATCTGTTGGTTCACTCCCCAGAGGCCCACAAGGACCCAGGGCTTAGAACTCCATGTGGGTCTCCCACATGCGTACAGGGGCCCAAGCACTTGGGCCATCCTCTGCTGCTTTCCCAGGAGCATTGGCAGGGAGCTGGATGGGAAGTGGAACAGCCCGCACTGGAGCAACTTCTACGATTGTTCCAATGTGCTGAAACTCCCGAACTGTGGGTGGTCTCCAGTGACAGCCGCTTACCAGACTGGCAGTTTGTGTTTGTATGTGGACCCCGAAGCATGCTGGGAAAGCTTCCTCCTCAGAGCAGAACCCCTGGTGCTCAGTGGGAAGGGAGGTGCTGGTCACCATTTGCAGCCATCGTGATAAAGGTGGGAGCCGGGAGAGGGAAGTGTGATAAGAACAATATCTGCACGTTAGTAAACGCTTCTAATCGGATTAATGCAAAATGTTAAAAATTGGTGAATTTGAGTTAAAGGGTGATAGTTCTTGATCTTTTACGTTTCAAATGATTTTAAGGTAGACATTTGTTACTTTCAAGTTTGTTTTATCTTTATTTGGAAGGCAGAGGGAGAGGGAGAGGGAGAGAGAGACTGAGAGACTGAGACTCTATCCACTGGTTCAGTCCCTGAATGCCTGCAACAGCCAGGGCAAGGCCAGGCCTGAGACAGGAGCCAGGAACTCAGTACGAGTTTCCCGTGTAGGCAGCAGGGACCCAACTACTTGAGCCATCATCTGCTGCCCCCCCACCCACATGCAGGGAGCTGGATCGGAAGCACCAGGCCCAAGACTGATTGACTGGTAGATAGATTGATTTAGAACAGCAGCTCTTGACTTTACATGAGAGGCAGAGAGAGAGCGAGCGAGCTTCCATCCGCTGGCTCTTCCCCCACATAGGCACAGTGGTCCCAGCTGGGGGAGGGGAACTCAGTGCGCGTCTCCCACATGTGTGTCAGGAGCCGCATCCCTTCAGCCATCACTGCCACCCCCCGTTAGCAGGAAGCCGGAGCCTGGCACCAGCCCCAGGCACTCGGGTAGAGGCTGCAGGCCTCTCACCTGGTGCCTGCTACCGCGAAGCTGAACACCTGCCACTCCGGATGCATTTTAAATGCTCCTCTTTAACTAACAGTCTGTTTCAGGAAACATTCGTTTTTTACATCTAAAAACAAATGCGTAAATATCAACATATTCATCATGAGGCTATTTATAATAGAGAGAAAAAGGAGAAGTGAATCGAAATGCTTTAGAATTTTCGAGTACACCCACCTAAAGGGTCAGAAGGGCTGAAGACGGCGCGCTGATGTAGTGCAGTTTCTTGTAAAGAAATGGGATGGAAGTGTACTCTAATATGTCCCAGGGAAGGCATGCTTGCAAAGAAGGTACTGGAAACAGGGGCCGGCGCAGAGTCATAGTGGGTAAAGCTGACGCCTGCAGCACCGGCATCCCACAGGGGCATTGGTTCCAGTCCTGGCTGCTCCACTTCTGATCCAGCTCCCTGCTGTGGCCTGGGAAAGCAGCAGAAGATGGCCCAAGTCCTTGAGCCCCTTCACCCACATGGGAGACCCGGAAGAAGCTCCCGGCTCCTGGTTTCAGGTTGGCCCAGCCTGGCTGTTGCAACCATTTGGGGAGTGAACCAGCAAATAGAAGAGCATGCTTGTGTGTGTGTGTGTGTGTGTGTGTTTGCCTCTCCCTCTCTATAACTCTTTCAAATAAAATAAATAAGCCCTTTTTAAAGAAAATATTTGAAATACATACATGTAGTAGTGAGCTCCAAGTAACGCCCCACTCCTCCCATTACACAGGCTTGCAATTATACTAGGACTTCAAAAAAGATTCATTTACTTGAAAGGCAGAGTCACAGAGAGGCAGAGAGAGAGAGAGAGGTCTTCCATCCACTGGTTCACTCTCCAAATGCCCACAACAGCTAGCGCTGAACCGATCCAAAGCCAGGAGCTTCTTCCGGCTCCCCCACGTGGGTGCAGAGGCCCAATAACTTGGGCCATCTTCTACTGCTTTCCCAGGCCATGGCAGAGAGCTGGATCAGAAGCGGAGCAGCCAGGACTCAAACTGGCATCCATATGGGATGCCGGCACTGCAGCAGCAGCTTTACCTGCTACGCCACAGCGCCAGCCCCTAGGGCATTACTTTTATGCTTTAAGAAAAGAAAGCATTTAAAGGCAAACAGCTTGAAACGTGCACGCGCGCGCACACACACACACACACACACACACCCCTCCCCTGCGAGGGAGTCCAGAACAAGGGCAGGGCACTGAAAGGCAAGCCCTGGGAAGGCCCCGGGAGTGACGGGAAGAATCGATCTCGGGCAGTCGCGTTTCTGGATCCGACCATGCGCGGCCTTGTGGTCCAGCGGGCTCTAGGCACCGCTAAGCGGGAGCACCACTTTCTGACACCACACAGGGCCTGGCCCGAGACCTCAGAGCAGCCCGGGCTGACCCTTCCTCGGGCGGGGGCCCTTGTCCTCCCGGCGCTGCGGGCTGAGATGTTGGAGCGGCTGCCTCTCCGTGCGCTGCCGGGGTTCTGTGCTCCGGTTGGCCTTGGTGTAGGAGTTGGTGCTGGATTCCGCATTGCCCCAGCGCCGAGCTGTGTTTGCTGGGTGAACCCCATCGGCCCGCGGGCCAGCTCTTAAAGGACATGAGGGCACATTGCACAAGGATTCTCAAACTACCGTTGGCATGGGGCACACTGGCCCTGGGGTCGCGTGCGAAGTGAGGTGCCACGGCTTGATTTATGAAATAAATGCGTTCCTAGTGGAACGCATGTTAACTGGGTTAACTTCACTCAGACCGAGCAGACCCGCCCGCTGAAATGAGCCGAGGACAACGACGCCTACAATCTGAGTCATCGTAAAAGCTTCTGACAGGCTCCGGGGACAGGGCGGGTGGATGCCTGGTTCATGCCTGGGACAGCCCGTTTGCTGCAGGTGTCACCGGTGAGGATGTAGGACCTCTGCTGTCAACGCTGAAACGTTTGTCCCCCGCAGGTGGGCTCCGTGGTGGCTGTGGGCTGGATCCGCTCCCGGAAGGCCGTGGACTGGCGCCTCTTCCGGAACATCTTCGTGGCCTGGTTTGTGACGGTCCCCGTGGCCGGGCTGTTCAGTGCTGCGATCATGGCTCTCCTCATGTACGGGATCCTCCCATACGTGTGACCCGTCTCGCTTCCACGGGACCGGGTGGTATGGGAGTATGTGGCCGCCGCGTGTCCTCATGTCTCACACACACACACCCTGTCCGCCAGGCTGCAAATGCACCTCCCAGAGCTAACTTCACTACTGCACATAACACTACGCATTCAGCCGGTATCATGGTGACAGGATGTGGTGCGGTTCCTTATATATTAAACTGCATATTGTACACATAGAATAGGTAGCATTATTACAAACGTACTCAACTTGGGAGTGGAGATAATTGCCTAGAACTCAGTCCCCGGTCAATCCTGTACATAATGATTTCAATGGCAGATGGCAAGACAGTTCTCAAAGGAAAGCGTGGACTGGAAGGTGATCTCTCGTCCAGGCGACATCTTCCCCTTTGACTACTGTAAGAGAAGTGAGCAGCAGGATACGCACACGGCCGACTCGGGCGGGTGAGGCTGGCAAGGGGCCCACAAGTGCTTTTCACTGCAGACAGCTGTGTACTGGTTCTTGTACAGTAGACCCTCGTGGCTTTTGTAAATACTGAAAAACTGTAATTTTTGTAACGGTGTGTGTTTCCCTTTCACTTTTTCTGATCCGAGATTTTTGGAAAGTACCAAAGAAGCAGGGGTATAGTTTGCCAGTATTATATTTTCATATTGTGCGTCTCCCCTCGTCCTTAACCACTACCGCCCTCCTGGGAGGCGGCCACACCAGCCCGATGCCCACCCGCCCGGGGCACCGTGTGGCTGAGGCCCCAGTCACCCATCGCCAGCAGGTCACACTTTGGATCCCCCACCCACCAGCAGCCCCACCCTCCCCCCACACACACAGACCACTGCCACCATGACCCAGATCCCAGGCAGCCCTGCCGTGGCCGTCACCGTCATCAGCATAGCGCGTGCCAACGTGCCAATGTGTGTGTCCAGTGCAGACTCCCAGCCCTCTCCCTGCGGCCTGTGGAGCGGAGTTCCCACCTCCAGTGTGAAAGGCGTGCGGGCCTTCTCCCGTGCTTTGCCACTCTAGATCCCAGGGGCAGGAAGAGGGAACGTGAGCAAACGCACTGGCCGTGGGGCTCTCTCCGAGGCCTTGACCAAGCTGACCATGCCAATGCTCTACTGTAGCCCCAGCAGATTCTCTTCTTTTTTTGTTGACAGCGGGAGGAAGTGTGACTAATGTCAGAGCCTGAAACTATGGAAATGCTGCTAAAATTTTTATATTGACAAACATTTTCTCGGTACTTCATTGTGATTTTGCATTAATCAACCACATTAAATTTATAATAAAAAAAAGCCCCTCCAAAGTCGGCCTCCGAAGTCTCTCTTCTTCAGTGTTGACATCTGCTTTTCTCCCCAACTTCCCACACAAACAAAAGCTGTATCGTTCGTCCACTCGCGTTTTTCAGCTACCTTTCATTGTCTTTCCCCCTTCTTCTCCTGCTATTCTGTGTTTGTGCGGAAAACACAGAGGAGCAAGAACAGGCAAGAATGTTCTACACCCTGCACTCAGCAGTCCCCACTGTTGACACACAAGGCGCTTCAGCAAGGTCACAGACGGGCTGGCGCTGTGGCACGGCAGGTTAAACCTCCGCCTGAAGCGGGAGGGCTGGGCTGCTCGGAGGGGCCGCGCCTGGCCGCTGTCACACGGAGCTCCCGTTCCTGGACCAGGGTCCCGGGCTTCATTTCCTGCCTTCCCAGAGGGACTGAGCTCAGGCAAATACTAAACATGCTCACGTTCAGCGAGGGTCTTATTTTTTAATGCGTGCTTCCCACCCCACCCCCCACCGCCCCTTCTTAAACAGCCAACCTACTGAACAGAAGTTAAAAGTTTAGAAGATGACACGAACTTGGGACAGCCATGGTTTTTTTAAAAAAGGTTATTTATTTATTTATTTGAAGATCAGAGTTACGCAGAGAGAGAGAGAGAGAGAGGTCTTCCATCCACTGGTTCACTCCCCAATTGGCCGCAACAGCTGGAGCTGCGCCGATCTGAAGCCAGGAGCCAGGAGCTTCTTTCGGGTCTCCCACGCGGGTGCAGGGACCCAAGCCCTTGGGCCCTCTTCTACTGCTTTCCCAGGCCATAGCAGAGAGCCAGATCAGAAGTGGAGCAGCTGGGACCTGAACCGGTGCCCATATGGGATGCCTGTGCTTCAGGCAGCGGCTTTACCCGCTACGCCACAGCGCCGGCCTCTACAGCCATGATTTTAATTCCACAATAAAGCCAGGCCAGAAAAGACACCTTATGAGTTACAAGGCTGCACCCAGCTGCCACTCACCTGCGGGAGAGCAAACCTGCCCCCTCCCTAGCCTAGCAGCTGGAACCTAGCACAGGTAGGGTCACTCCCGGCTCCTGCTCAAGGGCCTGGGGTCACATCTTTGACCCTGTTAGCACCGGCCTCCTTGTCCACTCAGTATGCACCATGACCATCTCAGCCAGCCTGAGGAAGTCGGGGGCCAGCCCGGGGAGGGACTCTCCGTCCCTCGTGGATGAACCTCAGCTTGCTGCTCCGTGGTGCGTGCATGTTCCAAGTCTTGGGCGATGGAGGAGAAACCCCAGTTAGCTGAACAAGAGCCTACATCCGGGGGCGGAGACGAGACCGGGTCATCCACCTGCTTGATGGAAGACGCGGGAAAGGCCTGCGCGCATGGTTAAGTGAGCGCCACACCAGCCCTTGCTCCTGGATTGTCCTTGGTGCAGGAGCAAAGGAAAGCCCCCCACCCCCTCACAGCCCTTCATTCCCGTGAAACACTGCGGTCCCCATATCTGGTCTCTGAAACACCAGAAGCTGGCCTGGCACTGGGAAACCTTGCACTGAGGCAGCAGCTGGCCTCCTGCCCCTACTCTTCCTATCTAGGGTTCATGGTTAATTCTCGTTCCTAGAAAGGAAGCATCCCGAGGAATTAAACATGATACACAAAATCTGTTTAAGCAACCAAGGGGTTTTGACCAGCGTAACCTGGGCAAAACAAAACCCTGAATTTAGAGATTCCAAACTCTGAGTCTGTAGGGCAAGGGGTCAAGGTCAAAAGGATGATGACTGAGCGACCCTGGCTGCGCTGTCATCGTTGGCAGGCAGCAGCAGCAGCAGCAGCAGCGACACCCAGTGGAGTTAGGATGAATTGCAACTATCTTCAGAGCCTTGAAGTTGCCTCGCTGGGATGTTGGGTGGATGGTGGGCAGGAAGTGATGGGTGCTTCCCTGAGGGCCCCAGGGAACCGCAGGCACTTGAAGGAGAGCCCCCCGCCACGTATGCAGAAATCCCCGCCTGGGAGGCCAAGGCGGGGCACCTGCCTGATGGCTTGGGTCCAGGTCTCCATTCATTCAGCAATTCCTACCTGTGCCTGTTAAGTGCCAAGCACCAGCCAGACCACTGGAGGCAGACAGGTGAGGCTGCCACATTGTGGCTCTCACCCTCGGGGAAGGGCTATAAGGGGCGCAGCGGGTCGGGGAAGTGTTCAGAGAAGAGAAGAATTTGGCAAAGCGGACGCTGGGGGCACAGGGCTACTCTGGATGCCCACCGGCTGTCCCAGGAGACCACAAAGAGGGGAGCTCTTGAGGTTGGGAGGCAGGCGGAAGGGTGGTGTTTGAAGGCAGAGCACGTGGGGACAAGCGAATCCCTTGGGAGGCTGTGTCCAAGCCCACATTCCATTCACCCCCAACACCTCAAGACTGGGACACATCCCTAGATGGACACACCAGCTCTCTGGGAGAAGGTGGGGCTGGCCGGTCGGTGGCTTAAAGGGACAGGATGAAGATGAAGAGGTGTCTTGTTCCCGTGGCTTCCTTCCAGGCAGCCGGACCACACTCAGTGTCTGCACAGGCACATCTGGGAAGGACGGACTAGACGTGATGGACATGGTTCTGGACACAGAGACTGGCCTCAGAGCACCAGAACCCGCTGTGGCCCGCGCTGTCCAGCAGGTGCACCCAGCCCTTTGCAGGGGTCAAGATGGCATCTGAGCACCGACTCCCCGTCCTGATTGACAGTTTGCCTAAAACCTGGCTCAGGAAGGATGGTGCTCCCCTCACATCGCCCTCTCGGAGAGGAGTCCCCGCAGGAAAGGCAGCTGGTCCTCACACCAACAGCGCACATGCACGCACGCTCAGGGCGGAGCGTTAGACCAGGCGGCAGGCAGTGCCTCCATGCTGACGTCTGCACGGACAGCAAGGAAGGGGCACGCAGGGAGCCCGAGGCTGCGGTGTGGCCCAGGACGCGGCCGTCTTCGCCCCGCTGAGCGTCTACACACACAGCACTGAGACAGGCGCAGACAGGCCTCCACAGCCGGACAGCAACCAAATGACACCCAGACACCGACCGTCCTCCTCCACCCCCCGGGGCCGAGATGTTCAGAGGTCAAGACCATGATGTGGTCCGGTCACCTGTTGTGATGTGCGAACCCTAAGCTCTCTTTAGCACAACATTTCCTAAGAATCTGACGCCTCATAGGAAGCGAGTAGGACCAGTGGTGTTTCCTGCCAGGGCCGATGCCAGCTCCCCGGCCGCTCTGTGCTGCCGCCGGCGCCCGCTGCCCTTCTCAATCCTCACTAGAAGGGTTTTTTTCCTCCCCAATTACGAAAATGATAAATATGTTTTTAGAAAACTTGAAAAATAAAGTGCAAAACCAGTGGCAGCTCCTTGAAGTTCCATGTTCCTGCACTAATGCGTGCAGACATGTTGGAGACTTGTCCTGCGTTTGCATGTACCTGTTCAAAAACAAAACTGAAACGTGGCTTTTCACTTGCTTTTAATATTTAATGTTATACTGTGACCACTTCCTGTCTTCTCCAGAAACACGGTTTTTAATGACTGGGTAATATTCTATTCAATGACTATCCCATCATTTATTTAACTACTGCCCTAGGTGACGCATCTGGAGGCTTACTGATTTTTCAGTATTATAAACTCTGCAGTAAGAAACCTAGAACGTAAGTCTCTGTGCGACTCTGATGATTGAGGCCCTTAGATACGTTTCCAGAAATGCAGGCCCTGAATCAGAGCACACACTAATGTTAGCTACACAGGTCCAGGAGCAACACTCATGGGCTGTGGTGAGGGCCAAGGGCAGGCTCGAGAAGACGAAGAACCCCAGCAGTGGCCATGAGAATTCCAAGGAGAATCCAAGGCGAAGGAAGCAGCGAGGGGGAGCAGTGTGGAAGCAGCCTTGAGGAAGCGCCGTGCCCGGGGCGCTCCTGCTTGCCCGGAAGTCACTGGTATGAAACAGCCTGTTCTCTATGACGTGACCGTTATAGCTACCACGCTCCCCTTCCCAGCACAGCTCCCCGACTCCCTCCCTGACGACGTGCTCAGAACCACCAGCCAGCCCCAGGAGTCAGTAAGACGGCCCAAGTTCCTCTCTGGACCGGGGCATCGACACCCGAATCTGTCCTTTCCGCTCTGCAACAGCCGAGCACAGCGCCAGCAGGGACAGGGCGCAACCCCCTTCCCGACAGCATTTCCTCGCACTCTGAGCTGCCCCTGACCCTGAGCCGCCCTGAAGAGAAGCGAACAGGCCCCACAGACACCGCAGCGGCTGCCAACCCCTCCGGCCCACACTGCACAGCGGCCCTGGGCCCCTGCACCAGCCCCTCCACGCTCAGGCTGCAGCCAGCCGCGGTGTGAACCGGCCTCGGTTAACGAGACAGAACTAAGGCGTGGTTTCACCCCTCTCAGCACCTTCCCTTTCTGGGTTACTCTGCCTCTTGCAATGGAGGGTCAGCCTACAGAGAGCATCAGTGAAAACACTGCTGGCGTCATGGGTGGTTTCTAACGTACGTGATGTCCACTCACTGCCCAGTCGACCATATTCGAGTATCGGGTATTGGCAAGTGAAGATACTCTTTGGTGGTGGTAAGAGGAACATCTTGCACTGCAGTTTTTCACAAAGCCAAGGCGACTGCTGTTTGTAAGACAATACATTTGGATTTGCATAGGCAAATCAGAATGAGACGATGGGGAAGCATCTGAACACTTCCATGTCACTGGCAATTATGGAAATGAAAACCAAAACAAGGCCGTTCCATTTTTCACTTAAAAAACTGGTATAAATGTGGAAGTCTGGTAACATTCAGTGTTACTGAAGATGAGACAGAAATATAAGTGGTGCAGAATTCTTGAAGGGCAAGTTTACACTAATCAAATGCAAAGCCCTACAACTCAGCAATCTCACATCTGGAAATCACTGAGAGCTGCACTGCCCAGCGCAACAGCCAACTGAACATCTGTTGCGTTTCACGAGCTCGAGAGCCCTACGTGGCTTGCACCGCTCCCGTGCACCAGCGCGCACAGAGACCATTTTCACCAGCACAGAAGTTCCCCCGCGCAGTGCTGCTAAGGAAGCATTCACAAAATGAACAGTGACACTGCACCATTTGTAAAGCTAAAACCGGGATATAGCACAAAAAGGGGGCAGGGGGACGTTCAGGGTAGCTAAATGTTTTACGTCCCACTTATACAGAATGTAAAATAAAAAATGCAGCAGACATGGACAGAAAGAGGACCCTGATATGTTAAATTTAAGAGTGTACTACAAAAAGAGATATGCATTTTAACATTTTATATAATCTCTAAAGACACTAAAAATTGGGGCCAGCACTGTGGCGTGGTGGGTAAAGACACCGCCTATAGCACCCAAATCCCATAGGGGCACCTGTTCGAGTCCCAGCTGCACCTCTTCCAATCCAGTTCTCTGCTATGGCCTGGGAAAGCAGTAGAAGACGTCCAAGTCCTTGGACCCCTGCACCTGCATGGGAGATCCAGAAGAAGCTCCTGGCTCCTGATTGGCACAACTCTAGCCGTTGCAGTCAATTGGGGAGTGAACCAGTGGGTGGAAGACCTAGATCTCTGCCTCCCCTTCTATGTGTAACTCTTTCAAATAAATAAATACATCTTTAAAAAAAAAAAAAAAAACACTAAAAATTATGTAGGGATATGCTTGAAGAAGGAGTAGAGAGAGGAATGGGAATTTTTCAGTTTACTTTTTAAAGATTTATTTATTTATTTGAAAGGCAAAGTTAGAGAAGAGAGAGACCTTCATCTGCTGGCTCAATCTCCAAATAGCTGCAATGACCAGAGCTTGGCCCAGAGCCAGGAGCTTCTTCCGGGTCTCCCACATGGGTGTAGGAGCCCAAGCACTTGGGCCATCTTCTACTGCTTTCCAGGAGCATTAGCAGAGAGCTGGACCAGGAGTGGAGCAGCTGGGATTCGAACCGCTGCCCATATGGGATTGCTGGTGCTGCAGGTTGGGCCTTAACCCACTGTGCCACAGCAGCGGCCTTCAGTTTACTTGTAAACCAGCACGTATTAGTTTTAGAGATTTCCAGGCCGGCGACGCGGCTCACTAGGCTAATCCTCCGCCTTGCGGCGCCGGCACACCGGGTTCTAGTCCCGGTCGGGGCGCTGGATTCTGTCCCGGTTGCCCCTCTTCCAGGCCAGCTCTCTGCTATGGCCAGGGAGTGCAGTGGAGGATGGCCCCAGTGCTTGGGCCCTGCACCCCATGGGAGACAAGGAGAAGCACCTGGCTCCTGCCATCGGATCAGCGCGGTGCGCCGGCCGCGGCACGCTGGCCGTGGCGGCCATTGGAGGGTGAACCAACGGCAAAAGGAAGACCTTTCTCTCTGTCTCTCACTGTCCACTCTGCCTGTCCCCCCCCCAAAAAAAAAAAAAAGAGAGAGAGAGAGATTTCCAGGAGTCCCACCAGTGAGCCCTGAGCCCTCCTCTGCTGCTCTTCTGAAGTGGCGCCTGCACTCCTGGCCATCATCAGTTCCAGATCTAGTGACACAAAGCACTTCTCTCGAGCCGGGGAGCCCCGTGCGCGTCCCCTGCGTTGTGGCCCCACCCCATCTGTCTCCTCCCCACCACGTTTCCACGGGCTGGCCTCATCCTTTGCTCTGTCTTGTCACCCACTCACACCCTCACTCGTTCTCAGCAGCTTTGCAAAGCGACCAGGATGACTGTGCCCTACCCCACTACCTAGCAGGCAAGTGACAACGTTTGCACGTTTCCCCAGCATAACAAAACTCCCCGTCTCACCTTCCACCTGACCCGGAGAGCACACAGGGTGAGGGAGCCAAAGGTGGCTGGGACGAGCAAGAGCCCGGACTGAGACAACAGCACTGAGACGCAAACCCCACCGAGCAGAGCATGTTTTCAAACCAAATCCCAGCAGATCTAAGAAAACGGACACCAGCCATCAGAAAAGCAGTAATGTTCCAAATGTGATGGGTTTATTTGAGTTTACTCTGATGCAGAACCAGAGATTCCGCTACAGCATGGAGAACAATCGGGGGGGGGGGGGCATGCAGGTTGCGATGTACAAACTGGAGGGCTGGTCGTCTCCTGTAATGTGACAGCAGGCTGCTGCCGAGGGACACGTGAAAATCAACCCCACGGAACGGAACTGAAATGTGGCACAAACACAACTTCCGGGCACGCCTCCCAGAGCCTTCCTGAGCGCGCACCCGCAATCTCCAGACTTCGGTGTGGGGAGGATTACAATTCTTTGGAAGAATAAAAAGTTCACACGTTTGAAATTTCACAGAATTTTAAGGCCAAAACATAGTGGGTTCATTTCTCTTCGCTGCCAGGGACCAATGTGATGCTTGACTCAAAGCCACATTAGGCTTCCAGCTCAAATCCCAGCCCAACCTTATGGCCTCCTGCGTTGAAGTTCTTCCCGTCGATTAAAGCGGACAGGGTCAATTTGACTCCTAGGGAGGAGAAAACACCGGTCACTTGTAGCAGGCTTTGCAATCTGAATTCACACAGAGTGGACGGAGTCAGCGGCGGGATCCCAGCTGGGGACAGGAGTCACAGGCACGCAGACAGGTGTGCGACACGCACAGCAGACTCATGGCAAACTCTACTTGGGGTTCCGAGTTAAGAGCAATGAGAGTGATCAACCAAACTCGGGGGCCACAGTGACCAAATTATAGTTGGAAACACAGAAGCGTTTTCCGAGTGAAAGCACTTCATCTGTCTTACTCCTCAGGAACCAAGTGTCACAAATACGGGCTGCATCAACCCACAGTGCCTGCAGGCTCCCGTCTGATTACTGTCATTACTCCTCTATCTTCTACCCTGACCCCTCTGCTTACCTGGTCGAAGGGTCTGCGTATAACCCAGTCCAATCAGGCTGGCGTTATTTACTTTGGCCTAAGAGTCAGAGACAGGAAAGAAGCAAAAAACAAGTCAATGTCTTAAAGAATCCAACACAACCACTGCTTCAGGCATCAGGTTCCACAGCTAAAGCACCTGACGGCCAGTCTAGAATTAATGACATTAAACATCTCATACATAAAAAGAGAAATCCTTCGGGAAGCCAACAGGGCTGGCAGGGGTGGGGAGCGTTGAGAACGCACGCCCATGGGTCTCAGCAACTCTGCCGACACACGGAGGTGCCAGTGTACGACCTCTCTGGGCCCAGATCCTGGCACTAACACTTACCGCGTGGCCTGGGGTAAGTTACCTGGCCCAGGCCTCGGTCTCCTCATCTGTACAACACGGATGAGGATAACACTACTCGCCATGTAGACCAGGGGTTAGGATAAGAAGGTAAGAAAACACATGCAAAATCTTGAGCACAGTCCCTGAAACTGGAGAGCTCAGTTAGTGCTACTATTAGTATCAACTGCTAACAGCCACAGGAACAGTAAGCCAGTTCCTGTGAAGCAGAAAAGCTAACATAAACTGAGACAGTCACAGGGCATTCAAATACAAGAGGACGGGGCAAGCCCCACGCTCTGGTCTCCACATGGTCATCCTCTCACGTCACGAGGAGCCAGCTGTGGACGTGAGGTGCGGACTGCAAGCACACCCCAGCACTCATCTGCAACCGAAGTGAAAACCTAAAAGATCCAGCCCACAGCACATTCTTACAGAGAGAGAAGTTCTACAATCCAGCTTGTATTTAGCTGCGATGCCAAAACGCGTGTTGTTACTGCCAGCCGTCCATGCGAGGTTTATTGACGTTTCAATCTTCTCGTTGACCTTCTGGTAGATGGAACCTCCGAATTCAGTGCCATCGTTTCTGTTTGCATAGCACAAGCAAAAGTCATAAGTACATAATCTGTACCACTGTTAGGACAGGAAATAAATTCTAAAGGTCTAAATACGGGTCCCATTTTGCAGCTATGGATCTCAGCCAATTTCTAGCACAAATGACTACGAAACCGAACACGGAACTAGGTCCATTGATACGCTCTATAATCACCTAATTAAGACGTAGTAACATGATTAATTTACTTGGTTCCTCCACATAATGTAAATTTCTTAGACTCAATTCAATTCTGCACCAAGGCAAGAGCCTCAGGGAAATGTAATTTATAGGTCCCTCTGGGATGGTCACTGAACTTAGAAACTTCAGAGCAGAGTGCACTCAAGAGTCTGCAGAGAACACAGAGGCAGAAGTGCAGGAATAAAGTCAGTCCTCGACTTCATTTAAAACAATCTGAAGAGTTAGAAAGCACTTTCCCCCACAATGTCAAGGGTGCACTGTTCCAGAGAAGGACCTAAACTATCACGTCAAAGCGTCCTAGTAATTATCTTTGAGGTGTCGTGGTCTTCCTGATAATACCGTGTTACTGGTTTCAGCACCTCAGTCTATGCCATTGCTTGATTTAAGTCTTAAGTGAACAGCAGACCAAGTGGGGAGCAATCCGCAATACTGCAAAAACCCACAGCTCGCCCGCCCTCTGTGCGTTCTGCCTGGTACAGTGCAGCACCACCCAGCAGGCTAAGACATAAAACACAATTAGAAGTTCACACTGATCAGCCAACAGAGTGCAGTCTAGAACTGCACAAAGGGCTCCGTTAACTTCTGAATGCAACACACTGACTACGTTCTGATCGAGGACGCCTGGAAACCTCCAGAACTACTGAGGATGCTTCAGGGTAGTCCAGTCGCTTTGTGGGCTGTTCCTTGGCGATCCAAACCTGCTACCAGGAGGAATACCAGAGGAAGCAGGAAACATTCCAAAATACCCCTTATGCCGGGAGGTACACCATGATGTGAGCTCTCTCCATCCATGCACTCTGGAGCTTCCTGGAGTTTGAGGAAAAGACTGAAGCCAGTGACTACCAGCAGCAGCCCGGCACGGTGCGTGAGGTATACGAGTCTCCTGGCAATGTTTCACTCACTAAGAAAACAGTGCACCAACGCTGGTGTCCACTTAGGCCTCGTACCCCGAGGCACCACCACTTTAACTGTTGCAAGATGCTAACAGCAACCCTTTTTCAGCAACTGTGTAAGGAATAAATTATAAACACTCACACATGAGTGTGCAGCTGGAAGTCTGCAGCCTTGTAACCCAGGGCAAAATTATTCTGTGACAGTTTGGATTTGGCTGTGTCAAAACTCATCTGATAGCCAGCAAGCCAACCTTCAAAAGCCAACACAGCCCAGCCATAGATGGTTGGTCCAGAAAAATCTATATCAACATTACTTCCAAGACTAAAACAATCCCGTTTATAGGAGGCCTTCAATTTCCCACTCTTCTTTCTGTAAAGAACAAACAAAAACAATACAATGAAAACACAATGAGTTTCTACTGCTAGGTCGGAACCTTTAGAGTTAAGATCCTGTCTCTCCCTCAGTGGAAGACTTATTTTGGTAGGGGGCATACCCATAGTAAAAGTGTTTCAAGTGACTTAGTTCTACAAATAGGATGCTGTTAGGATCAGCAATCTACACACTGTTATCTATTCCTCAATATAAGTTCAATTAATGGGATATGTTGTGATTAACTTCACAAAGGGAGGAGTAAGTGCCAAGTTCACAATCTGAAGACACATGTACACAAATCTCTTTAAATGTTTCCAAATGCCAAATGCCACAAGAATGCAAAATGCCCAACACACACCAGAACCCTATCATGGAGAAAAGTGTAGTTTTTTTCAAAGACAATACTGAAAACAGGAAGCTATTTCTTAATAGTCCTTGTCCTATTCCAATTGAGCCTCTTATGGGGATATTAAAGACAACTAAAGCAGGTGGCACAGAGGCCATACCTGCAGAAACACCACTTTGCATTCTCTCTGTCATTCAGGTAACACAGACCCACATCAGGCAGAGGGAAAAATGACACAATTCCCACCTTTTACATAAAGAAATCGAGGCCAAGAAGCTGGGGGACTTCCAGAGAGTAACAGACCCAGCAGGCAGCCTAACTGCTCGTTCTGTTGTTCTAGAAGACCAGATACACCTTTTTTTTTTAAATTTTTTACTATTAATTGGACATATTTATGGAATAGTATGATACATATCTTCAATGTGTGATGATCAAACCAAGTTAACATTTCTACCTCCTACAATTTTCAAAAAAGTAATAATTGTACACACTTATGGGATACAGTGTGGTATTTCAATAAACACATACAACGTGTGCTGATCACATCAGTGTAGTTGACATTTCCCTCTCCTGGTCATTACTTTATGCTTGGAGCCTGAGTCCCTCTCTTCTGTTCATTCATAAACTGTATAATAGGTTACTGTGAACTGCAGCCAGCGCACTGTACTCAGAACACTACAACTTAACTCCTGCTATCTGTGCTGTGCACCCGTTATCAGCCTCCCTCCTGCCCCAACGCCCACACTTCTAGATTACAGTCTTAAGAAACCGCCTTCTCAGCAGCACACCCACCGATCTTAGAGTAGCTGAAGCTGTATCTGGTCTCAGACCATTCCAGCCCATAAGCCTGTTCTGTGCCATGCTGGTTTGAATTAGATTTATAAAGTTGTGTTCATCAGTTCAGTGTTAAAATGGAAATTTTATCCTGCCTCAGGGTGCTTCCTCTACCCTTGCCTCTAGTATTCCAGACAACAACCCCCTAAGCTCGTCCTCTACCCTAAACTTCTCATTGCAAATCCCTAATTCTAATGGTCTCCATCCCTTCAGGCTTCAAAAACATTCCAGAAAATAAGATTTAGATAATTACCCTGTGTTTGGTACAAATATGGTGTCAAGAGTCAGTTTCAATCCTTCAGCCAACTGAAAAACAAAGATTTTAAATTAACAATAATTTTCAATTCTTTGAAAAACAATATATATTAGTTTACTTGAAAGGCAGAATGAGAGAGAGAGAGAGAAATAGATCTTCCATCCGCTGGTTCACTTCCCAAATGGCCACGACATCCAGGGCTGGACCAGGCCAAGCCAGGAGACAGAAACTCTATCCAGGTCTCCCACATGAGTGGCAGGGGCCCAAGCACTTGCGCCATCATCCACTGCCTTCCCAGGTGCATTAGCAGAGAGCTGGATTGGGAGTGGGGTAACCGGGATTTGAAATGGCACTGCAACATGGGATGCTAACATCACAAGCAGAGGCTTAACCAGCAGAGCCACAGCACTGGCCCCAATTTCCAATTCTTTATTCAACTCAAGAAAACAATTTTAAAGTTTCCACTAACTTCCCCTTTAACAAAAAAAAAGGAAGTCATTAAAGAGAATCGAATATTAAATTACATAGAAATTATATCTCCCCATATTTCTCACCCTTCACCCCATTTTCATTATGGTTCTTTCACCAAAATATGGGTAAAAAATAAATAGACCAAATCCTATGACTGCAAGTAATATAAATTACGATACAAAAATAACAGAACTATAATACAACCAAATAATCTTGATATTCTCTTTGCAATAAAATAATCAGACATTTAAAAAACCAATCTATAAATCTATATGTGTTATCTATATATAATAATGAACATATACATGTATCACAAAAAATAGTGCCCTGTACAGTAGCTACTTGAAAACACACAAAATTTTAGAGGCACTTTTCTGTGGCATAAATTTTGCAATGATTAGAAAACCAAATCACCACAAATGGTTTGTCCTACACAGTAGAGATTCAGCTGAATAACAGAATAAAAAAACAGATCAGAACAAAGAGATGCCACTCTAAGAGTACACACAAGGCCTTATTTCCCAAAAACCTAAGAAATGGCCAAAAAGGCCACATGCAGAGAAGAATTACAGCTATCACAAAGGTAATGGGAGCTTGTTCAGACTGTACCCGGGCTTGTTTACTATACAATCCATAAGAGAAATTAAACCTGCTTAAATTGAGTAACTTCTAATGCTTTCCCTTACCTTATTCTCCAGAGAGATTTCTGTCCCCAGAGTGTTGTCTGTGTTCCATTTCTGGGTGAAGGTGAGTCCATAGTTACAGACCTTATATTTGGTCTCTAGGTTGCCTGACGCTTTTCCTGTATCAGTGTAAGCATGACCAGAAGTAGAAAATTCCTGGTAAGCAAGAAAAAAATAATTACTTTAAAATTAGCTCATCGATTAGGAAATATTCACTTCAGAAAGTGGATTCAACGCATCAGAAACCGGAACAATTGACTTGTTACCACAGCCCTGCTCTACACAGCTCACCTCCTGCCTCCTGCCTCTGCTCTGAGCATCTGCACCAGTTTCTGGTCTTTGCTCCCCTTCTCTGACACACGTTTCTCGTTCCACAGACTCTGACTCAAAGGAAATCTTAAATTCTCTCCTTTAAAGAGAAATCTCTTCATGGAAAATAAATGCCATTTTTATTTATAGACAAAATATGTGATCTTAAACCTTCTGCTTGTATGGCCTAAAAAAAAAGGTGATCCTTTCTCTGTAATGCCTTTCACGTGATTAGTTAATCTAGAGGTCCTTATCCTCCTTTTAACAGGGTCAACATTTCATTACTTAAATTTATTTTTTATTACTAAGGTAAAATACATTTAACTAATATTTACCATGTTAACAACTTTCAAGTGTATGGTGATATGGTATCAAGTACATTTACCTCATGTAAACCACTGCTTTTCCACAAAACTACATGCAAAACGTTCAGCATAAACAATTTTAATATGCGAACATATCTGACTATTGTTCACAGTAATAGATTGTTCTTTCCCCCTTCTTCACCCCGTGTACCTTTAAGTACCTACTATCAAATGGTTATTATGAATACCTCAACATATACCCTCCTCCCAAGCCAAGCGTCCTTTCAATCACATGACAATAAGCAACTGGAAACAAATCTCCTTCTGGGGGAAGCCATCAGCACCTGTCACTGACAATCATGAGCTGGAAAGGGAGCAGGAGGGGGAGGAAGCATTCTGATTGGCCCTGTTTAAGGAACATTTCTGAAATGCTGCCACCCGCACCGGCTCCACCCCACTGCCTGCAACAGGAATCCTTCGACAACAGCCTGCTCCCAAGCTCTAGTACAGGCAATAAAACCACCAGGAAACTCCGACGTGTTTATCTACACCTCACAGGAAGTTTTCAGAGTGAGTATCATACTGCACATGTAGGGCAAGTCCGTACTAAAAACTGATTAAGTAAGTGTTGGTCATATTTAACAGTTCACATTAATTCTTCAATGTGACACTCATTTTCTTTCAACAGATCCAACTAACCAGGGTTTCGTTTTTCACATTTATGCTTCACAAACTTGACAAGTGCAACCAATGCAAATCTTAATTTTGGCATCGGGGGACACTTTATGCACAAAATTAAGGTAAAGGAGTGGTCTGCATTTCTTCCTCGTTACCATCATCGTTCCTTAGTGCAAACACCAGGTACAGATATCAAAGAGAAGACTAGACTTGTTCTGAGCTCCAGGATCACGATAGCTTCAGCTTTTGTCTAATTTCACACTTAGGTCAAACAGTGCAAAATACATTTATAACATGCACACCACATCTGCTACTCACATTAAAAGCTAGTAAGCAACAAAACAAATAGAAACACTGTGGTTAAACAGATGGTACATGATGCAAACGCCAAGATACAATCTAAAAAATGTGGAACGGTGGATGATATTTTTCCTAAATCAATACTGGAGACCAAAAGCAGCCACAGAAAGCAGGCACAGAAATGAGCTTTTTGTCCTTACCATCTGAATGATCACCACAGCAGCATGAAAGGGAGAAAAAATCTTTGTTGATGATTTTTACAACACAAACGTAACTTGCACAAACTCAGACACCTACTCAAAATGAGCACAATTTTTCTACCTTACCAGAACCACTTAGACACAATGTGCTCCTCTTAGTTAGGGGGAAGGGGTGCACAAGTATTTATTCACACTAGAGGAGCCCAGGGAAGGAGGGACAACAGCACACCTGGATTTACAAAGTGCAATACAAAGCCTCACAGGGGTGCCACAGGCCTTCTGTCCTTCTAATTACAGGAATACAACCTGCAGGAGTATGAACAGGTAAACTCCAACCAAAGATGAGGCCAATGAGCACAAATCAGAAAATGAAGCGAATAAAAAGTTCATCTATTTTTACATTTTGCCTCAACTAATCATGAAGACACAGGAGAAAGTTGCCTTAAAAAAAAAAAAACAAAAAAAAAACATGAACTCATTATACTGGAAGTGAAGTTTTTAGTGCTCATATACATATTCATGTAAGTATACAGATATGGAATGAGCAAAAATATGCATATTTTATATCTTCTGAGAGTAAGATGCAGAACACATTTATTATGGCAAACACTAAGGGTCACCCCCAGAATGCAGCCTGACTGTCTATGTGGGTTTAACTGGCAGAGTTAGAAAGCTACCTGAAATCTGAGAGTAGGACAAAGCTGCAGGGAAGAAGACACTGCCAAAAGCATGCTGGATCACTGACTACATAATAATTTTTAAATAGTATCCGCTAAGTTAATTATATTACGTTTGTTAAAATATATTAAGTACTCACCACTCCACTACAAGACTTGGTTCTCAGGTCTATTTTGACCATGCCAAACCCTAGATACACAGGAAAAAATATAGTAATGTATAAAATGTGATATTCACCCTAGTTTTTTCAACTCAGAAATTATTAAATTTCTATATAGAAAATACACAGTATACTTATTAGAGAAGAATTCCACAAGAAACTGAATTATAATGAAATAAGTCTAATTTTTTTAAGTTCCTCAAAATAAACAGACAAGTTTTTAAAATATAAATTAAAAAAAAATGAATGAAAAAAATATGCACTACTCTAAAAACCAGAATTACTAGATAATAGTATGCTGGTATATACACAAGTCTAAAACATACAATTAACATCATTAGCTAACTAAAAAAAATCCAGTGTGAATAGCAGCAAAAATTTCAAACTTAAAGATTACACTTTAAAATCTAAAAATAGGGGCCAACATTATGGCACAGCAGGTTAAGCCACTGCTTGCAACACCAGCACCAATTTGAGTCCCAGCTGCTCCACTTCTCAAAAGAAGGAAATCTGATAGCTTGTTAATAATTATCAACTTAAAGCTTGTGAATTAGATCAATGTACACGTACTCTTATTTTATGAGCACAGTATCTTGCACAGAGCCAAGTCCACACTAATCCTGACCCAACACTGGAAATCTGTGACAGCACACTTACCGTATCCTTTGTTGAAGACATCCTTGGCAGCCTTTCCTAGGTCACAGTAAGTCGGTGTGTTACACATATCTTATAAAGAAACAGGAGGACAAAGGAATAAAAATAACCATTTAGTAATTATTCACCCATCGTTCTTCCAGTGTTTCATCCTGCAAGAAGAGATGTGTGCAGTCCTCCTTTGCACCATTAAGTTCATTACTAATGCAATCAAGATTAAGAGAAAGCACTCTGCTCCTGAGAAAAGTGCCCTACAGAACACTGCCGAGTTCTCCCCTGAGATTCAATGACGTCAATTTTCTGACTGCATTTCAAAGAAAGTTCTCACTTGCTTCGGAGGAAATGCTTTATTAAACTGGAATGCTTAAAAATATATGCAAAATGTATCTTACAAAAACCTTTCTCAAGGCTGTTACACAATGCAATAAGGTAAATTTTAAAAGGAATTCCAAGAATACACATGATCAAAATCCTCAGGGTTGATATTTTGCTACTTTTAAGTTGTTTTAAAGACAAGAATTATCACACTAATTGAAATGTATTCACATACAATATGCCTTCTCAAAGCTCTTCCGAAAATAGAGTGCTATAATTTTAGCAATTAACCAGAAATAGTATAGAATCAACTGCTTAGCAAAACTGGTGTCAGCTCTCAAGTTAAAGCCTTCAAAAACCCAAGGTGCCTTGACCTCTCACCTTGCCTACTTAGTATTCACCAGCTTTTCTACTGGCAGTGGGACTCGCCCATCAAATCCTGAGAAGCTAGCAACACTGCTGAGCATAGTACTCCTTTGCCCACTCTGTATAATGGTAAATGTCTCCCTGCAGCAGGTTCTGTTGTGTCCCTAGCACCGACTGAGAAGCCATGTCTAACAAAGATACAACCACCTCAAGCAATTTCATTAGCCCAGTTTCTACCAGGAAAAATCCAGTTACCAACTAGCTCTTGCAACTGTTATGCCTGAACTATCTACACAAATATCTATATTTAGCCCAGCTTTTAATCTGGACTTCTGCTAAATTTTTGCCTACATCATCATACCTGAACATATATGTATGATGCAGTTAATCAGGAAGTCATTTAAAATGTGTTCCTTAACCTATCAAATATGACAGACACCAACATATAAAGTTATGAAGAAGGAGTATAGTATAAAAATGAAACAGAAAGAGTGCTATAATTGTACTGCCTTATAACAGAAATTGAAGCTACAGGGTCTCATAGTTCACTTCCAAAGCAGTTATTTTACAATTCAATACTTATATGATCGAGTCCAGACTTCTGACATATTCCCAACTCCTACTTGATTATTAAACAGCTACTGATATTTGTTCAAATACTGCCAGGAGCCTGTAACTTGGGGGCACCTTCAGAACTCCAGTCTGATTTTTCACAGTAACAAGAGAAGACACAATTAAATGTTCAGAAACACCCAGGATACTTCAAACGGCTCATGAAAAGAGGAATTCATAAGTTTCTTTTGGTGCAGGCCCACACAGTGGCACAGGTTAAGCTGCCACCTGCAGTACCGGGTCATCCAGTGTGGATCCAAGTCCCGGGTGCTCCACTTCCAATCCAGCTCCCTGCTAATGCACCTGAGAAAGCAATGGAAGATGTCTCAAGCACTTGGGCCCCTGGATCCATGTAGGAGACCGTAAGGAAGCTCCTGGCTTTGGCCTGGCCCAGCCCCAGTCTTTGCAGCCATCTGGGGAGTGAACCAGCGGATGGAAGACCTCTCTCTCTCTCCTCTCTCTCTCTGCCTCTCCCTCTTTGTAACTCTGCCTTTCAAATAAATAAAAAAGTTTCTTTTGGTGCAAAAAAATCCATGCACACAAGAGGTGCACTCGAGGGGTCTTCAAAACATTCATGGAAATGCATATTATGAAAAAACTACACAAGGATTTCAAAAAACAATTTGCATCCAAACTTATCTTTTCACTCCATTTCCCCACAAACTGTTTGAAGTACCTTCCTATATACTTGGCGGGACCAAATAAAATCTTAGCATTCTGCTTGGTTTTTTTGTGCAAAACCAGTACCAGATACTTGTCAACAGTCAGGCAGCGGGCCTGGTTCACGAACGGGTCTCAATTCTGCCTGGCTCCGGCTGACTTTTCCAGGGCCATGACGCCGATGGCAAGTGCACTGCTGGTATGATCCAGCAAAAATCGGGAGAGGCTTCGTGCTTCTCACTTCCATCAGCGCTACAAAATGCACTTGTTCGTGGATGGGTCCGAGGTGCCGCGGTTGCATCAGACGCAGAAGGAAAAAGCGGGGTTTTCACACAATCCCCAACTTGACAGCCTTTTGTTCCTCGTTTCTCCGTCCATTGCACGGACGGCATCCGCCCTCCGGCCACAAGGCGCGAGCCTCGCCCCACGCGGACAGCAGGCAAGGGCAAGGGGGTGGGTCTGGGGCTCAGGGATCCAACTTCCCTAAAAACCGACTTCCTGTCTCGCCTGACCCTGGACATCAAGGCACCTCCCGCGGCGGGCGGCTCGCTGCCCCGCTGCCCCGCACTCGCGGCGCCACCTGCCCTGCCGCGCGGCGGCTCCATCCCCCGAGGCGGCGGGAGCCCGGCCTGGCGGGTCCGCCCGACCGCGTCGTCCTGCGGGGCAGGCCTTGCAGGTGTGAGCGGGGTTTTCCTGTCAGACGGACTAACGGTCGGGAATGTGGTTCTTGGGTTACCGCATCCTGAGGGCGAGAAAACATAGGCCCCTGAAGGGACATTTTGAGGCGAATGCCGCCGAATAAATGAAGAAAGTGCGGAAGTGGGGAGTCAGCGCTTTGGACCTGCCGGGATAATGAGGGCTTTGGGTGCCAGTTCCGCACGGGCGGCGGAGATAGCCGCAGGGTTTCCAGTCACCGCCTGCGCGACTTCCAGAAGAGATGTCTTCACTTCACAGGCGTCGCCCTGTGACACACAGCCAACGTCGTGTGCCCCGGATGCCATGCACGGGGACGCCCAGGTCATACTCTTGCCGAAAGCATGTGATTTAGCTTACCCGTGAGGAAACAGAGAAACTTGCCTTCTGCAAGTCCTCAAAAACACCAGTCTCTTGAAAAATTAAGGAAAGGCTAAAGGAGACAAGCAAGATAACACTAAAAGCAATGTGTGATCCTAAATGACCAATGAAGGCCATCGTTGAGAAAATTTCTATGTAAACCACGTTCGTGTTGTGAAAAAATAATTTCTCAATTTCTTGAGGGCAATGGGTTATGCAGAAATGGCCTTGTTTTTAAGAGAAATGTGTTTGGAAGTGAAATATCTTATGTCTGCAACTAACTCTCAAATGATCCAGAAAAAAAGTGACAAAATGTTAACGCTGGTCATTCTAGCTGAAAGACACATGTGTTCATTGCACTGTTCTTGAACCTTTATGGTAAGTGTTAAATTTTTCAAAGTAAAAATGGAGGAAATCCCACCAAGTCTGCGTTGCTCAACGTACAATGTCAGGCTGTTGCTTGAATCAGTAGGTGAGTACCGTATGGGCTTGCTGTGTGTAAGTAAAAAAAAAATAAGATCGATACCCCAACCTACTTATAATGTAAGACAAATACCTGAGGAGTAAGCAGAATGTGATCAATGTCATAAGCGAAGCAGAATGTAGCAATCTGAACAGAGCTGGATTTGTGTCTCAGCTCTGCCAACTCTGCGGTGTTATGCAAGCAACTTAACCTCTCTGTGCCTCAGTTTCCACATCTGTGAAACAACTAAATAATGTCTACCTCTTGGGATTGTAGTGAATATTAAATTGATAATTCCTAGCATATAGTCTACCTGGCATATGGAAAATGTTCATTAGTTAATAACACAGATGAAAATTAGTATACTTCGGATTTGTGGTGGCAGGGTAGATATTTATTCATATCCATATGAATATTTTTTTTGACAGGCAGAATAGACAGAGAGAGAGAGACAGAGAGAAAGATCTTCCTTTTCCATTGGTTCACCCTCCAATGGCCGCTGCGGCCGGCGCGCTGTGGCCGGCACGCTGTGGCTGGCACACCGTGCTGATCCAAAGCCAGGAGCCAGGTGCTTCTCCTGGTCTCCCATGTGGGTGCAGGGCCCAAGCACTTGGGCCATCCTCCACTGCACTCCCGGGCCACAGCAGAGAGCTGGACTGGAAGAGGGGCAACCAGGACAGAATCTGGCACCCCGACCGGGACTAGAACCCGGTGTGCCGGCACCGCAGGTGGAGGATTAGCCTAGTGAGCCGCGGCACCGGACCCATATCCATATGAATATTAAAACCACAACTGCTGCCTAAACTTTGGCTCAGACCTGGCATTGGTCAGCTGTAGCCGACGATTAAAGGTTGTAAGTAGCCCTTTGGGAATGTGGCAACATTCTTCCTCTGTCTTCTGCTATCCAAAGTCTTTCTCCTAGAAAGCCTTGACAACACCAAACCTAGGTCATCCAAAGGGACTTTGCTCTCTCTCCCAATACCTAAAACAGCAAGGTGATGAGAGAAACTGCTAAGGAAAACACCTGCTGAGAAGGAATCCCTCCTTTCTTCCCTGTGCCTCCAGCCCTCTCAAGTTAGCTGGATCATGTCCTTAGGAACATCCTGGCTTTCACCAGCTCAGAATTACAGGCAGTTCTCATTCTTCCACTCACTGAGATCCAAACTGGGGAACTGTACAAAGGATTTTCTCAGTCCAAATTCTGCCAACGTGGCATTCTCTGTTATAAAGCCAAGAGAATCATGGAATTTTAGAGCAGGAAAGGAACTTTAAACTCCTCCCTTTGAAAGACATTTACTATGCTTACTAACAGGGAACCACTCTCAGAAACCCAAAAGTGTCAGAGCTGAGTGAGTCCAGAGGCCCATGGAGATGATGTATGGACTAGATTTCCAGGACAGGTTACCTGCTCGTTCAAGTCAAGATAACCTGCTGATCTGCCCATGTTGCCTTTATAAGAGGAAAATCTCCGAGGGTTAGTAGGGTTTTAGTCTCATAAATAAAAAAAAAAAAGAAGAAGAAGACAGAAGCTCCACTGTAAAAATTTGGTAGCTCAGTTACCTTAGATGTAAGAATATTATTAGATTCTGGAGCCAACACTGTGATTTAAGGCCATTTCTTTAAAAAAAAAAAAAAAAAATGACCCACTTATTTTCAAGGACTCCAAAATTGTGATGAGGCCTGGGGATCCCCTGCTTTGAAGAGGAGGAAGCATAAGCAAATCCCTGGTCCACTCCCAGGAGCAGCAGAGCAGAGACAACAGTGGTGAAAGCATTGAGTTGGACCTGCATGGGGTTTGGAGGCTTCTTGGAAATGATCTTTGGAAAAGTTCAGCTGGACCAGCAGGGAATGACTTCCAGAGCAAAGAGGCTTTTGGTGCAGCAGTTGAATTGCCACTTTATGACACCCTCATCCCTCATCCTATGTTGGAGTGCCTGGCTTCCAGCCCCAGCTCTGCCTCTGATTCCAGCTTCCTTCTAATGCACATCCTGGGAGGCAGCAAGATGGCTTAAGTAATTAGGTCCTTGCCACCCATGTGGGAGACCTGGGTTGAGTTCCAGTTTTCTGGCTTTGACATGCCCCAACTCTGGCTGTTATGGGCATTTGAGGAATGAGCCTGCAGATGTGACAGCTTGCTTGCTCTCTTTGGCTGTCTCACATAGAATAAAAAAAATGTTTAAAGAGATCTTTGGAGTAACCTGGACAAATATACTAATTAAAAAAAAAAGAGATGGATTTCATACCCCACAGTTTCATATTTATAGATTTATAGTTTTTATAGATGTATAGTTTTCATAATTATAGATTTCTATTTAATAGCTCGAACAATTTATAATAGCAAAAAATGGAAAGCTACATAAATGGCCAGTATTTAGAGATCATTAAGAGACACACCCTGAGGCCGGCGCCGCAGCTCACTAGGCTAATCCTCCACCTAGCGGCGCCGGCACACCGGGTTCTAGTCCCGGTCGGGGCGCTGGATTCTGTCCCGGTTGCCCCTCTTCCAGGCCAGCTCTCTGCTGTGGCCAGGGAGTGCAGTGGAGGATGGCCCAAGTGCTTGGGCCCTGCACCCCATGGGAGACCAGGAGAAGCACCTGGCTCCTGCCATCGGATCAGCGCGGTGCGCCGGCCGCAGCGCGCCAGCTGCGGCGGCCATTGGAGGGTGAACCAACGGCAAAAAGGAAGACCTTTCTCTCTGTCTCTCTCTCTCACTGTCCACTCTGCCTGTCAAAAAAAAAAAAAAAAAAAGACACACCCTGTTCTGAGTTCTAATACAGCTATGTGTTCTCATAGTTGGTGGGAAACAAGAGTCTGTATAGTGTAGTTCCATGCATGTGTGTGTGCTGTAATGGGACTCTGAGGAGAAGTGAGGGGAGGATAAACATGACATCAGGGTGTGACCTCTGAGGCTGTATTGGACAGAGGAGGTGCACATGTGTACACACTGGCATTAGTAATAGCTCCTTCTGGAGCTGGTGACAGGTTAATTATATTGCGTATTAAATAAGTGCTGCATGCATGTGTGTTTATGTTCCCTCATAGAAAGAAAGCAACAACACTTTAAAAAAGTCAACAGTGACTATTTCTGCTGGAACAGTATACAAATGTGACTTCTATTTTCTTCACACATCCTATATTTTCCATAATTTCTAAAATTTGGAAACACGTATTTCTTTCATAATAGAAAAACCAGGCTCACTTTCATAAGGCAGGGAAGTACCTAGGTTTGTGAGACAGAGAGTGCTGTTTTGTGGGGAGTTTCCACCAGAAATTGGGAAATATTTCTGGAACCTTGTTACCTGGAATCTACGGCGTGCCTTGTGAGTGCTAACTCATTTCTGACCACAAGGGGAAGCAAGAAGATCGGGTAAAATGAAGCGAAGTCTGGTGGTGGGCCCCAGGTGTTCCCCTCTGAGTCAGGGTGATGACTCTGCCCTCAAGTTCCACACAGCCTCATCCAAGACCTGCATATGGTTGCAAACAAAGTCATTAATTAGAATTAGACAGTGTATCAAAGTCTAATTTGTTCCAAGGGCAGCAGATGTTTACAAAATGTTTTCATGGGAGGATCAGTTTTCCTAATGTGCCATGTGAAGATTAGGGTATGGCCTGGCTGAGACTACTTTTGTGGGGAGCAACTGGGAGCAACTCGGACTAGACTAAGTTACTGGAATTAAGACTTATTCTATGCATCTGCTTTCCCACAATATGGCGCTGAGAAGGGAAACAGCTTCTACACAGCTGCCTCCAGTTCAACCAATAAACTGTGGGACCTGCTCCTGATTGGAGGAGAGCAGCGTACTCGGTGTGTGGGTAGCAGAGTTGGGATTGGTGGAAGAGGACTATAAAGGAGGAGAGAGACGGCATGCACCAGGAACATCTAGGGGAAACATCTGAGGGAACACCTGTGCAGCCCCCGAGAGAGCCGGCCGGCGGTGTGCCGCTCCCCTGCGGAAGTGGGGAATGTGGCAGGGGGAACCGCCCTTCCACAGAGGTGGAAGGGACGGTAGCCAACCCGGGAAGAACCAGCAGCAAACCCGGGGAGGGCCGACCAGACGAAAGAACACCGCAGAGGCCTGTGTCGTTCCTCCATGAAGA